GGAAGATAAGCAATTAATGCCTTTGCGTCACTTTTTTGTCTCCTCCATGCTGGTAAATTACCCAAAGTAATACTAAACAGATGTTCAGTTTTTCTTACTAAATTATCACAATTTGTAGCATCAGAATATATAATAAGCGCAAGGATTTTTGCACCTAAAGGTAAGTTACACACAGTTCTTTCCCACCATATACTATTATAGAGTTCTGAATAACATCTTTCATTTTTTTCATTCTATGTATCAAAATTAATTAATTAATATATTATTATTAGATTAAAAGTAAATAAGTTAAAATTATTACCTTTATTAGCTCAAAATCAACATGAAAATTTTCAATAATTTCTGGTTTTTTTAATAACTCTTGAATACCTTCAAGAATACAACGATGGTGCATTATGTATTTTTCGTTTGCATATTCAAACACAACTTCTTTAAATGATAGGTTTTTAACATCCAAATTATCAATAAAATTACATCCCATCCTTGTAGATTTAGGAAGAACATCAGTACAATGTCCATAATTTTGGATAAATTTAAGAATTGAATCTCCAGCAGCATTTGATAAATTGTATTTGACAATAATATTCATAAAATCATGGTATGCATTAGAGGGAAATTGTGTTGAAATATTAGGAGTAGGTGTAATTAATTCTTGATATGGATCTATGCCATCATTAACATTTGCAGAAATATTGTAATTTATGTAATTGTATTCTATTTTATCATTATCTTTTGTATCAGAATCACTATTATTTTCAGGAGAACTTGAGCTTTCCATATTCTATTTGATATATAAAATATTTTTAATATTAAATATGTATTATATAAAATTGATTAATATAATTAATTACTCCTACTATTTGAATAATTTTATCTGTTTCAAGAGATTGAATTTGGTTAGGACTAAAAGCAGTTATATATTCATCAATTTCATGAGTTTTAATATGATTTGACCAAGAACTTTTTTAGAAAAAGTAAGTTTACAGTGAGGACATAATAAATATTTTTATTATTTACGCGTAATTAAAAAGTACTTAGTTTAATGATGATCAATTATTACAAAAAAAAAAAGTTTAATTTTTTAATTTTTTACAACTGCAAGATTAACATGCCACCAATAACACGAAAAAAGATTTTAACAAAAAAAGTAATCTCTTTACCCAAACTGCCAAAAGTCCATAGTAGAAATAGTACAAAAAACATTCCAATAACTCCATTAACCGGTAATACCAGTAAATTTTTATGCAAAACAATTTTACAGTTGAAAGAAGAATTAATATAGCAAATATATTTATTTTTAATAGATATTACAACAACATTTGACACAAATGGAATAGAAACACCAATGGGTCCTAACAATATGGTTGAAGATGGAAATGTTACCAACGGATTTAATAGAGAATATTTAGATAACATTTTAGAAGATGAATTAACTAATGACAACTCTTTTGATAGAAACATTCCTTTGGAACAAAGTATTTTATTATCATTAGATCATTAGTATAAACAACACACTTTTATAATAATTTATTTATGTTGAATAGATTCTTTCAACAGGAACATTAGTATTGATCACATAACTATTGACCAGTTGTTTGAGATCATTAAGAAGGGAACAGAGACAGCGAAGTGAGCAGAGGAACAGGCTACCCAATCTCTGGAAATAGCGCAAAGACAAGAGGCAAAACTAACACATATTTCTGAAACTATAAACAAGATGGCTCAAAACACGGAAAATTCTTGGTGGATGGTATATTAATATGTATTTTATGTATTTAATTATTTAATTTGAATACATGATTTTTTAATAATAATTTTATTGTAATTTATTAATTTCAATAGGATTTACTTAAACCTGCATCAAAAAGATTACTTAAAAAAGCAATTTATCCTACTGTTGAAGAATTTAGAAGAACTTTTGAAGAAGAAGTTACAATACAAAAACCACCACAAAGAAATCAATATAATGATACACAATGGAATTGGATGTGTAACTATAAAATAATTAAAGTGGTAAGTTGGGTTGCTCATTAGAAACTAATTTTGCTCAATATCTTCCATCTTTTTTTACCACCTAATTTAGAATTTTTCTTATTAATAGATACAATTTTTTATATTTGTAGTTTATGAATCAACATCAGGTGACTCGAGGAATACTTACTGAAAAGATTAAAAAAATGATGTTCTCTACTTTTGACTGAAAATTACAAGAAATAAATGGAGCAGCAACTTATACACAGGTTCAAGCATGGAAGAAATCAGAAGAAACAACTTGGTGTTATAACCATCTTGAAGAACTAATTGATGAAACAGATGAAAATTCATTTACATATATGGATACTATTGTTTTGAGAGTATTTCCTGATGGTTCTCCTTCTTATAATTCTACAGCATATGTCATGGCAGTTTGTTCACTCATGTTAGATCCCAATCATTCTGGCATTACTATGTCTGACGAAGTAACTGGAATACTCATGACCCAATATATGGATTTATTAAAAGAAAATGGATAATTAAATATTATCTATATTGCACATAAAAAATCCAAATAGGTAATTAATTAATCAAAATAATGTATTAAATTAGATTAAACGTAATGTACGGTATATAGCTTTAATAGAAGAATAATGTAATAGCATATAAAAACTATAAAACTATAATAATAATAAATTGTTATTGTATAATTATGATATAAATTTATATTGACATAATTATTTATAACTGTAATATGGCATTAAACAAGTAATCCTATGTAAGTTATAACTGTAAAATTACATTAGTCATTAATGTTAATCTAATGTAAGGTTCATTAGATTACTGTAATTTAACACATGTTAATTTATTGTTAACTTACACCCTGACAAGTTCCTGATGTGCTTGCTTGCTGTATTCATCTCCCATCTATTTTCACAAGTGGCCTAATCCTTTACCTGAAAAAAAAAACTCTATTACATTACTGTCAGTCCAGAGTTTTCAACATTGAATCTTGTTCCAGGATTCCTCTATACACGACCTGAGATTATCATTCTAAACTTACTCTTCATCACTCCAAATGAAAGGCCTGGCTCAAGGAATACGAAAAAAAATTTTCATGCAAAATTCTTCTAATTGTAAATTGACCTTTAATTCGTTCGGAAATTTCTTTTATGACACACACACTTTAAAGTTCTAAAATCATTAATAGAAAAATCAGTTTCTTTGGGAACACTTTTGTATGTGTTACCCATCACCTTTGTATAGGACGTTCTGTACACACGTTTTAAAATATAAGTCAAATTTTTATTAAAAAAAAGTAATGTAACAAAAATTATATTACGCGAATCAGAAAGATCTAGACTTTTCACATGCGAAAGAATTTAATTATTATTACTGAAGCTATTGAAAAGCTTGAAACATAAAATTTTACCATCAGAAACTAAGCCACATAGGACGAATTATTGTATGTAAGCTTTTGTGTAATTAGCAAAACATGATTCCGATTCTTGTATTTATGGGAGCGATCAACATTTATTCATATAAGGATTTACCCATATATAAAAGTGGTACATGATTAAACCTTGCTGACGGATCAGGAGCATTTTGAAGGCCCGAGTTAAACTAATATTTGGTAGATAAAACGCACGTTACATTAAAAATTGTTTTATTCATTGGTGAAGTTGTAACAAATTACCAAAATTAGGTAATCTTTACTATGCTATTTATAGGACATAATAAATAAATAAAACAAATAAACAAATAATCATTTGTACTTCAATAGGCTCTAGGTTAGCCTATAGAGATAAGATAAATCCTGACATTTGAAAATAATTGGATTAAATTAATTTCACCTGATTTCAAATAATAAATGAATTTCACGAAAAATGCCTTTAGAACAACCCTAGCCTAAGAACGGTCCTATATGATCTTTTCATAACATGATATTGGGCCCATTATACGTGTTGCAGCGTAATTTTTCCACATTAAATGAATATTTGACATCTTTAAATTTTCAAGCTGAATCCATTCTAGTATCTTGTATGAATTCTCGAGTTTCATTTGACAACACCTATCCCAATCGCCTTTAAACTTATTTCTCATCCATCGAATGCAGATAAGTATTATGATAAACATTGGGAACATGTTTGTTTTGGTCCATTTTGGTTGTTTAGTTTTGAATTCTCAATGCGCTTTTTCATCGGATGTTAGATCGTTTTCATTAATACTGATGGGCCTGGTGAATTATTATTTTGTTTTTTGTTTTTTTTTTTGTGGGATTCACTAAGATCCCTTGTATTTATTTTTATTCTATTTAACATAAAACTTTTTTTTGCAATGCACAACTTCCGTTTTACCATAAAAGGTATTCGTTCGGAGCGACCTAACGTCGAGATTCTTTATATATATTATATCATTATTTACATTGATTGCTTGAATATTGTTATTTTTCATGGTGATCGGCTGTGCATATTTATTTATAATAAATAGAGATAAGAAAAAGATTTATATAGGCTCTAAGAACTGGATATTATATAATCGTGTTACTTTCCTTAAAATATTTTTATAGTAAATAAAATTATATAATAATCACTAATTTCCCATCCCTTAATTTTTTTTTTTTTTTTAAAAAAATTTATCATAATGAGTGATGGTTCATTGAGGTACGACGCTATATTTGAGGGTATTTTCAAATCGGAAGTACTACTTGATTATGATATTAGTAGAATAACAGAAAACAAAATAAGAATTTGCTTAAAATATGTTCTTTATACTCATTCGTATACTAAAGCTGAAAAGCAGTATATAACTGATTTTGCAAATAATTTTATCGATGGGAGAAATATCAGAGATGGTATCAACAAAAAAAGAAAATGCAAACATTGTAAAAATATGGTAATTGCTAAATCATTTTGTGAAGTTTGCATGAGAAATTACTTGACAAAAAATTTTGATAGTTGGACATCAGGAAACGAAGAGATTGATCAATTAATTCAAAATTTTCAAAAAAGATCATTAAATCCACGTAACATTGTTGAGTGGATACCATATGAAAAGTTTAGTGATATTGAATATAAAACTGAAGGGGGATATGCAAAAATATATACTGCAAATTTTAAAGATGGTCCTTACCTTAAATGGAATTCTAAAAATTTAAGATTAGAAAGAAGCGGAGATCATCCAATTGTTCTTAAGGAACTTAGAAAAACAAATGCAAGATGGTTAGATGAGGTAATATTGAAATTTAAAATTTAACAATTAAATTTATTTCAAAATATAATAATATTAATTAATTTTGAATTGTTTTTAGGTTAAATCACATTGTGAAATTAATATTAATTCAGATTTTGTTATTGGTTGTTATGGATTAACAAAAAATCCAGAAACTAATGAATTTATGCTTATTTTAAGTCAATATAAGTATGACCTGAGAGAATATATGGCTGAAAACCATTCTTCACTTAGTTTATTTAATAAGCTCAAAATTATCCATGGTCTTATGCTTAATCTTAATGAAATTCATAATTTAGGATTTGTTCACAGAGATTTACATCCTGGAAATATATTACTTCATGCTTATGCAAATTTCTTTTATATTAGTGACATGGGATTTTGTGGTCCAGCAGATAAACCAATTGGAGGCATATATGGTAATTTACCTTATATGGCTCCTGAAGTAATAACTAAAGGCAATTACTCTCAGAAATCTGATGTTTATGCTTTTGGAGTAATAATTTGGGAAATCTTTTCTGGTATTCCACCATTTTATAATAAAGCACGTGATTTAGATTTAGCAATAAATATCATAAATGGAATAAGACCTAAAATTTCAAATAAATTTCCTGAAAAGTTTAAAAAATTACTAAATCAGTGCTGGGATTCTAATCCTGACAATAGACCTGATGCAAAAACTTTATGGATAGAAGTAAAAGAAATATTGAGAGACTTATATAGTACAGATCAAAATTTACAATTTAGATATTCCAAAAGCAGATATAAATTTATTAGAAACCTTAAAAATAATTTTAACAGATTATCAAATGCTACAGAATTAATAAAATCTTTAAAAAGCGATAAAAACGAAAACAACAACAATGATAACAACAATGATGGTAACAACAATGATGATGACAACAATGATGACAACAATGATGATAACAATGATTATAATAATAATAGAAAAAATATAAATTATTCAGCAACTACTAATTTCACTGATCTCACCAGCAAACATCATCATTTCTCAAATCTTCCTACTCCAAAAAATGCTTCTCGAGGTATGAATGAATTAATAAATTATTTAAATTTAATTGGCCTATTATTAATTTATTAAATATTTATTAACTACCTATAAAATGATGTTTATTTATTAGAACAACAAGAAGGTAAAAATTGTTTTATTATTACTACATTGATTTAGCAGGTGCTTGACAAAAGTCTCGATTTAACAGAGTAAATTCTCTCAATATAACGGATTTACTGATTAAATTGGTCTAATAACCGCTAAACCGTGTATCATTTATTGCTATTATTTTGTATATATATTTTCAAGAAATTTATTTCTTTCTTTTATTTTTTAGCTTACCACACTAAACAAAATGATCTTGTTATACCAGATGGTAATTAGTTTGATTGTTTTTTTTTTTCGACTAATTGAATTTTATTTTTAATATTATAAATTATTTTTATAGATATACTATTGGGAATCCAGTGATCTTAATCACATGACAAACCTTAAGGAACAAATTAATATTAATATTAATATTAATCTGAATTCGTCAGATTGTTTTTAAATTCATATGCTTTATATTAACAATATGTCATTATATATTTTTAAATTCACACATTCATTTATTAGGAGAGAAATATATATATAATAATATACAATAAATCACCTGACTTTGACACCTTTCAACCTGGTAGGCATTTTGAAAATCTACAAATAGTTTTGTTCATTGAGATAAACTCTACTGGCTGATTTTCAGAAAATGTCGCTATACTGAGCTGAGAGGTTCAAAGTTGGGTACTTCTATAAGTTCTGCTAAAATTGAACAACCAGTATAAAATTTTGTATCGCGTAAATATCTAGGTCAGATTACTACGGTGCGGAGCCTCTAGAGACCTTTGCAAACTTTAAAAGCATAGAAGTCAAAAACTATTCTATTTTTAATTTCATTAATTGAGAGATTAAGTCTCTAAATAGAAAATTTTTTTAGTACATGTATGTCAATTTTTATTCTGGGTTGATTAATTTTTGGGAGAGCGAGTTTAATTGATAACACAAAAATAATAGGTATTTACTAGTGAATAGTTTTGGTATGATTTAATTATTTCCCGAGTCGGAATTTTCTTTTATTCAAATTGAATTCGAAATTAGAAGACTACTTTGTCGACTAATACTAGGTTTACCATTGTGCTTCGTCGTCCCAGTTGACCTTATCGACCCTAGTACTTAGTAATAGGTAACCCCGTTAATCAAAACCGCGTTTAAACAAACTTTTAAAAACACAAATCCAAATATATGTAAATATATTAATATGAAAATTATCACATTAAACCATAGTTCTTTACTTTTTAACCGTTAAACCGAAGAAAATGGCTACACAAACACCTTCAGATTAACTGGTTGCCTAAGTAACCAATATCTTTTTAAATAACGCGCGTGTCGTAACACGGTGAAGCTCGATTTAAAACGGGTATGTTCATTCCAAAAATTCATCATAATACTAATCTGCTAAATCGAAAAGCAAGATATCTGGATATAATAATAACAACAATAATAACGGATCTTATTAATAAGGATACAATATGTATATATATATATATAAAACTTAGAATATTGATTTTCAAGTAATTAGAATGCCAAGGTAAAGTACAACGAAAATGGAAGAGTTCTACCATTTTATTATTTATTTTTTTTATTTTTTTTTATGTCACACATAATTTTATTATGAAGATACCAAAAAAGAAAATTACTGACCCCTAGTAAACTAATGAGTTCACCACAATCAGTCCCTGTAAAGGTATTCAAACATATATAAAATCAAATGGTTATTACCCATTGTAATAATCCAAAAGGAAACCACCTGATGCAATTGCATATTATATACCCTCAAAACCATTTGATAAATTGCTTGTATCTCTATTAAGACTACCAGAGAAGTTGTTAGTAAAATAGTAGAATTTTCATTGTAATTTTTTTTTTTTTTTTTAGTAATATTAAAAAAGATTTCTAATTTAATCAAATTTATTGTTTTGTAATTTTAATTTTTAATAAGGAATTCGCGTGTGTAACATTATTTAAAATTTGTACTGTTATTATTATTATTATAGTGTTGGACATTCGAATCAATTTTTTTTACAGGTCCCTTACCGTTTACTTTTTATAGCAATATTAATAGTATAATTTTTTCGAATTGTTTAAACTGCATCATGCTGTCCCAATCAGTTTTAGCAATAGATCAGGTCCATATCATGTATTGGAAAATTCATGTAACATCCGGATGTCGCGCGTAACAACCACATGTATAATTAATATTATTACTATGATTAAAATACTTTATGATAATAATAAAAGGCAAAGTTTGGTTTGTTTACATTATCCAAAACTTTTGGACAATTTTGTTTCAAGGACGATTAGCTGTGTGCTCTTATCATAATGTGATATTAGACCCATTATAGATGTTGCAGTGTAGATTTTCTAAATGTCAAATGAAGTCTATTTTTAATATCTTGTCTGAATTCTTGAGTACTTCATTTTCAGATATTCACTTATCCCAATCGCCTTTAAGCTTCGCATACATTGAATGCAGTAAATTAAAGATAAGTATTGTGGGACATTGATAGGAAAACCTAAAGTGATTGGTCTTAATTGGTCTTATTTACATATTAATTCAAAATGATTTTTCTAGATATATACATTTATTTATCAATAATAATAGCAAGGATAAGTACAGCCTCAAACAAATATATAATTACCATATGTTATAGTTTGTATTACGAGTTTCAAATAATTCTGTTCCTAATTTTTTTTTTAAAAAAACTCTTTTTACATTTTATGATAAAATGAGTAGTAGTAATGATACATCGAGGCGCGATTTTGTAATTGATACTTTTTTCAAATCAGAAGTTTTAGTTGATTATGATATTAACAAGATAACAGAAAACAAAATAAGAATTTCTTTTATATTTTTTATACTCATACATTTACTAAATCTGAAAAGCAATATACACACACAGACTCGATAAGTCAGCCGCATAATTTATACTATTGAGTACTTTAAACAATTGATTACTACGGGCTGACTTATCGAGTCTGTGTGCGTACATAGGTAAACTCAATAAGCCGAACACGGATGGCTGAGTTGTAACGCAAATTATTATTTCGTACTACACTTAATTATTAAATTTACAACACAACTGTTTGTAAACGTTCTACTACGCTTAAAATATTCAATAATTAACCAAGTAGCAAGAGTTTGATGTACTTGCAAAATAGGTTTTTTACATTTTAACTTAAATGTCCAACTTTGAAAAAAATATTTATTTATAAAATAATAAAAAGAATAACCATTTAATAAAACAAATAGAAGATGAGTAACCGTTTAATAAAGTAAATAGAAGATGAATAATCATTTAATAAAACAAACAGAAGATGAATAACCGTTTAATAAAACAAATAGAAGATAAACAAAAAATTACTATTCTTTATTTAAATAAGTATCTATACTAGTTTGTTTTAAAAAATACATAAATGTATTGTTTTGCAATATAACAATAGATATTCTTTACAAATTGCTAAATGATATAATCAATGATATAACTAATGATATAACTAATGATATAACTAATGATATATATAATACAAATGTAGTTTACGATACAAACAAGAACGTTCTTTCTAAATGATCAAATGATATGATATAAAAACGAGATAATAAATATAAACATATTGCATATGATACAAACAAGAATATTCTTTCTAAATCATCAGTGAGATAATAAATGATATAATCGATGGATATAACTTATGAAATATATTGTTTACGATACAAACAAGAATGTTATTTCTAAATCATCATGACGAAAATGATGAATAATTTGTATATGTTACTAAAAATAGTAAAGATTGTCTATCAAAAAATCGCGTGTTCCGACTTATCGAGAGTAATTTATTATACCTGGCTGGTGAAGTCATCCGACTTATCAAGAGATTTTAATTATTGAAAAAAAGGGCCGAAAAATTTTGTCTGAGTTAAGCCAAATCCGACTTATCAAGTTTATCTATGTATAAATGATTTTGCGAATAATTTATAGATGGGAGAAATATCAAAGAAGGTAGCAACAAAAGAAGAAAATGTAAATATTGTAAAAATATGGCAATTGCTACATCATATTGTGAATCTTGCGTGAAAAATTACTTGATAAATAATTTTGATAATTGGACATCAGGAATGAAGAGATTGATCAATTAATTCAAAATTTTCAAAAAAAATCATTTAATACACGTAATGTTATAGAATGGATACCATATGAAAATTTTAGTGATATTGAATATAAAGCTGAAGGGGGATGTGCAAAATATATACTGCAATTTTGAGAGATGGACCTTACTTTAAATGGAATTCTAAAAAGTTAGAATTAGAAAGAAGTGGAGATCATCAAATTGTTCTTAAAGAACTTAGAAAGGCAAATGAAAATGATCAAAGATGGTTAGATGAGGTAATATTAAAATTTAAAATTTAACAATTAAATTTATTTCAAAATATAATAATATTAATTAATTTTGAATTGTTTTTAGGTTAAGTCGCATTGTGAAATTAATATGAATTCAGGTCATGCTGTTGGTTGTTATGGATTAACAAAAAATCCAGAAACTAATGGATATATGCTTATTTTAAGTCAATATAAGTATGACCTGAGAGAATATATGGCTAGAAATTACTCTTCATTTAATTTATTTAAAAAACTCAAAATTATTCATGTGTTATACTTAATCTTACTGAAATCCATAATTTAGGATTTGATCAGAGATTTACATCCTGGAAATATATTACTTCACTCTCATGCAAATATTTTTTATGTTAATGGTATGGGGATTTTGTGGTCCAGAAGATAAACCAATTGGAGGCATATGTGGTAATTTACCTTATATGGCTCCTGAAATAATAACTAAAGGCAATTACTCTCAGAAATCTGATATTTATGCTTTTGGGAAATCTTTTCTGGTATTCCACCATTTTATAATAAAGCACGTGATTTAGATTTAGCAATAAATATCATAAATGGAATAAGACCAAAAATTTCCTGATAAACTTAAAAAATTACTAAATCAATGTTGGGATGTTAACCCTGAAAATAGACCTTATGCAAAAACTTTATGGATGAAAATAAAAGGAATATTGAGAGACTTATATAATACAGATCAGAATTTACAACTAAAAGATGGTTCTAAAAATAAAAATAAATTTAACAGATTATCAAATGCTACAGAATTAATAAAATCTTTAAAAAGTGATAAAAACATCAATAATGAAAACATCAATGATGATAACAACAATCATGATGACAATAATAGTAACAACAGTAATAGCAAAACCACAAATTATTATACAAGAACTATTAATTTCAGTGATTTCACCAGTAAACTTTATAGTTTTTCAAATCTTCCTTCTCCAAAAAATGCTTCTGAAGGTATGAATGAATTAATAAATTATTTAAATTCAATCAGCCTATTAATTTATTAATTATTTATCATTTACATAAATTGTTTATTTATTAGAACAACAAGAAGGTAAAAAATTGTTTTATTATTACTACACAATGAGTCTTGATTTAGCAGATAACTTGGGCAATTAGAGCAAAATTTCAAAAAGGTATTACTTTTTCACTTCAAAGCTCAGATTATTTCTCAATATCACTTTAAAAGACTTGATGGTAAATGAGAAGGTGCAGAATGCTTTCATATGATCATTACTTTATGGGGGTATTGGTTAATAAGTTTTAGTGAGGTTCATGAAAAACTATTTATAGAAATTTAATAGTCATGAAGAATTTTATGATGGGATTCAGCAAAAACTAAAGGATGATTATTTTATATTTCTGACTTTACATTAATTAAAGTTTCATTAACAATTATTAATTATTGTTTTATTTATATATAAATAATAAATAAAATGTATAAATTGTCTGTTTTATCAATTATTCAATTGTTTGAGTAGGGGGTGATTAAAGTAAGCATTAAGGACAAGATCTATGAGGCTTGGGAAATAAGTTCAGGAATATAGTTATGGCAAATTAGCAATTTTTCAGTAGCTGCATTACTACTAACATATTGCCATTTTTGAGAGCTCTTTGTTGTGCATGGTTTCAAACCCTTATCTGTGCTGTATGTGAAATCAAAATTTATATTGAATTTCACATATGTGAATTTGCAATTCACATAGATTTCATTTTCATGTACAACATCTGTATATATGCCAACTAAGTTAGCAAAAGGTCTTTGGGTTGTAGAATTATATATAAAAAAAAATTAATTTTCACAATTTATGTAAAATATATTGCAATTTTTTGATTTTTTAATTCTCATTTACTCTTTGAAATCTTGGAGATTATTTCAAATTCTTTGAGGATTATTATAATATAGTATTTAAATTATTTATTCCTATGATGTTATTTAAAGTTTGAACAGAATTTTTTGTGTAAAGTTAAAGGAAATGTGAAGGATTTACGGCAAAACGAGCCAATTAAAATTATGTAGATCATTCTAGAATCAATTTCTATCTATGGTAATATTCCTGACTAATAATATTTTGGTTTACGTGTTTGTTTTTTTTAATATTAAAAAAACAAAAGAAAATAAGACAATGAAGTTTTTGGGCAAGTGCTTATCATAAGATTGGTGATTGTCGCCACTTGTCATCACCCTAGTTACATAAATGGTTTAAGACCTCAAAAGCATCATTCACTAATTAAAAATGACAAAGATAGTGAAGAAAATATGAAGATTTACGACGGGCTGCGTACTCCAACTGATCAAAATTTTAATACATTTGGAAATGATTACTTACTTATACAATTAAATGAAGAGGAAAAGCAAGCGAAACCCAAGATGTAAATAAACAACACATTCGTTGAAGCTAATTTGCAGTTCTATATTGTATTGTTAGCTGATTGACTTCGTTTATACTATAGAGAACCAATTTGCTAAAACATAATTGACACCACGAATAAGCATTTAATGGAAATATTGAAACTAAAACATGATTACCGTTGGAAACCTATAATTAATAACACAACTAAATATGAACTAATTGAAAACGTGTGTTTTTAAGGATTTGTGACTAACATTTTTTTTTTAATTTTTTTTCAATTCGACTTTTCCTAATCTGTCTATTTCTGTGTTTTTAGAGTGATAATTGCAGTAGCTTCCAGTAAATCCAAACTTCATTCACACCATCAGAGGAAGCCTATTCGTTCAACGAACATAATGAAATGAATTAGGCTCACCGGTTTGCTGATAAATTGCGAGTTTGATGTTTTATTTAGTTCACATTGATTAAAGAAAAAGGCATTGAATGTGGTGGTTTAAAAACTCTGGTAAAGACAAGATGGATTAGCACATACGAATGTTTGGCATCAATTTTACGTTTGAAACCTTGCTTTGAAGAGGTAATTAATATTTTATTTTTAAAAAAAATTTCTATATATAGCATTTTACATTATCTATTGAAAGCTTACATAAGACTTATATCCAACATTCATAATAATTTACCTTCCATTCTTTTTACTAGATTGTCTTTTTTGAAGCTCCATGGAATCCACTTCTCAATAGAAATTCTGAAAGTTGGCTGAATTGCCACCTTTTGGTTCCATTAATTGATGATTGTTTCCTACCATGTGAGGAAATCCAAGTTCATCAGTGAGTATGAAGTTTTCTGGTAGGATTTAATGTAATAGTAGCTTTGTGTTTCAATATCTTATTTTAATTCTTTATTCTGTAATCCCAGTTGTGAAGAAATATCTTTGGCATCAATTGTGCGTAAGAATTTGTCCAGAGAAGAATGAGAAAAAAAAACAATCAGGACACAACATCGATATTATCTTTTGTTTTGATGACTTGGAATATTTTGGAGCAGGAACATACACAGATGTAGGGTTCCTAACCGTAATTCTAACACCCTATTCGAATATTTGTAAATCCAAAATTACGAATTTCGAATATTTATTCAAATACTCGTAATTATTTCGGATACTCGTAATTATTTCAGACATTTGTATAAATTCTAACAAGCTATTATTAATTTTTTCTTGTTTTTTAATTGATAAAGCTCTTTTTGGACATCAATTTGATTGTTCATTTCAAGCTATATCAAAAAAATTATTTGATAAATTATATCATCATACAAATAAAAAAAATTACCATCATTTTTTTTGAATGACATTTTGAATGATTTATACAATTGGTAGTTCCTAAAGTATTAGGAAAAAATTTTCTACAAATTCCATTTGGGTTTTGAAGGAATTGCTTTTTAAATGAAAATGTTTTCTGAACAAATATTTTAATTGTTGTAAAAATATAAGTTATCTTTATTATCTTTGAAAAATGTTCATTATAATAGGATAAGTTACAAATAAATTAGTCCTATTTGTTACCAATTGATAATTATCAAATATTGCTTGAAATGATTATGAATATTCAAAATAATTACGAGTATCCAAAAATAATTATGAAATAAATTATATATATTCAAATATCCTTGAACAAATCGATTTCCGAATATTCGTAAAAAATTTGATTTTCGGTTAGGAACATTACACATATGAAGACCCTCAAAATTCGAAACCAATTTCATACAAACAAAAATTATTTCGAGAAATGAAAGATCAGTTAGACCGTATACTGAAGAAGTTGAAATTCACGAAGGAATCGATAAAAAAAGTGAAGAATATTGTTCTACATGGAATAACACATGGAGATAACTATGGAAAAAACTTGTACCAAATGTTTCTTTGTATAGTTGAAACTAATTTCACACATTCAACAAAGGTTTTAATGGAAAAATGTATGTCATGTATTATGATGCGGACTTTAAATATTATTTCGTGTTTGAAACGTATCAATAACATGGGGAAGTGTTCCAGAAAGCCTTGTGATTTTAAAAATGTACTGCGTTTAAAGGTATGTCTTTATTTGTTCACAATTAGCAGGTTCATTTCTCTAATTATTTCTTTTAATGACTACAGAATGATATAATCGATGTCCTTAGCATTGTAAAGGAAGTAAAAAAGGTTGCATTACAAACGAACCCAAAAGAATTATTTACTATTGACGAACGACATTAACTCCAAAAAAAAAAATAATAGTATAGTTTTTAATACAGGAATTATGAATTAGGAAAGAAACTTGGTAGAGCTTTATTTCTTACATGTTTGTTATTAATTTCTGTTCTTTTAATCAACCATTTTATTTGACTATACTATATTATTGCGCCTGTAAATTTCAGGCTATTGCATTTTTCTCTGCATAATAAGTCCTCGCCTCACATCAGGCTTCTAATTTTAATCACGTGTAAATAAATTTTGTGGCCTCTAACTCTTTTAGACGCTTGGAATTACTTTAGATATCAAGCTTCAATTAGAACGATTCAATCTTCACAAAGTTTTTTCTTAATCTTAACAGCATTGTTAAGTGGGTTCTGGAACTTTTTGAAGATGTTATTATTAGCAAATACATGTTCACCTATATTAAGTTAGGCAGTAAATTATTTCCCTTACAATTTTCTTTTCTTTCTAAATTCTTCATGGTATAGTAGATAATTACACGTTACTAAAAATAGTAATGATGACCTTTCAATCAATGCAAATATCACACGAGACCAACTTATCGAGGGTAATTTACATATCTAATATATTCTAGAAGAAGGGTTGGCCGACTTACAGCTTATCGCGATTTTATATAGATTGACCGACTTATCGAGATTTTTAAGTATTGAAAAAAAGGGCTGAAAAATTTTGGCGACTTGTCGAGTTTACTTATTATTATGTATTTGAATTTACGTAATATTTATTGAAAATCTTTCCTATATGAAATTAATAGGCCAATTACCTTCGTCAAATTCATTCTTGCCACGTTTATCTTCTTCTTATTGATTGATCTACCATATTTAAAATTTTTTTTTGAAAAAAAAAACTAATTTCTAATAAAAATTAAAAGATGAAATTAAAAGAAATATCGCGTACAGCTACCTTTGCCTGGAGTCCTGGCCAAAATTCTCCTATAATTGCAACTGGAACCGTAGCTGGGGCTCTTGATGCTTCCTTTTCAAATACAACAGAATTAGAACTTTTTCACCTTAATTTAGATCAAAATGATTCAAGTTTTAACTTACAACAACCTTCTGGCTTAGTTACCAGTAATGCAAGGTTCATACTTTATTACTGTTATTGATTTTGAAAGTTTTGATTGTTGAAATATGATATAGTACATAATTTTTTGTATATATTTGATTATAGATTTGATCGTTTAGCATGGGGAATTGCTGCTGATAAACCTTATGGAATTATTGCCGGTGGGATGGAAAATGGTGAATTAGATTTATGGGATCCGTCAATTATTTTAGAGGGTGGCGAGTGAGTCTTGATAAATTTATTTTTTATTTCATTTCTCCATAATTTGATCATATGACTCTATAAAATTAGAAAATAAATTTCTTTTTAAAATAAATTGATTTTATCTTTTATATATTCCATTTTATAATCAATTAAAAAAATTAATAAAGTTCTGAAAAGGCATTAATACTAAGGAATAATGCTCATACTGGAAATGTTCGTGGTTTAGCTTTTAATAATTTTCAAAGTAATTTATTGGCATCAGGTGCAACTAATGGCGAAGTATGAATTCTATTGTTATTACTTATTTAAAATTTTTTCATGATAAATTATTCATTCATTCATTCATTCTAAACTATTTTTTCACTTTCAGGTATTTATTTGGGATCTTACAAAACCAGACAAACCCTATACCCCTGGAACCAGATCAAAATATCTTGAAGAAATATCTCACCTTGCTTGGAATAATCAAGTACAACATATTTTAGCAACATCTTCAAACACTGGTTGTACTGTAGTGTGGGATTTGAAATTTAAACGTGAAGTTACAACATTATCATATTCAGTTCCTGATTCAACCGTTGGATTAAGTAGTGGAGTTGGTAGAAGAGGTGCTACAGCTGTAGCTTGGAATCCTGATTTGGTATTCATTCTTAAATATATTTAATCATTTAACGATTTTTATTTTATTTGATAATTGGTAATATTTATTTATTATTTTTTTTTAAAAAAAAAAAAGGCTACACAAATTATAGTAGCATCAGAAGATGATAATAATCCTGTGATAGTTGTTTGGGATCTTCGTAATGCAAGAGCTCCTGAAAAAGTAATTTACTTATTATTAATTATTAAAATCGTTGGGTTATTAATTAGTTTTTAATTTGTACAAATTTATTTTATTTAGATATTGGCTGGTCATCAAAGAGGTGTTTTGTCACTTTCTTGGTGTAAAAAAGACTCAGATTTGCTACTTTCTTGTGGTAAAGATAATAGGACACTATGTTGGAATCCAAGAACTCTTGAAATATTGGGAGAGGTATTTTATACATATTAATGTTGAATTTACATTATTTTTATTTTAAAGTATCTTTTTAAATAATAAAAAAGATTTATATACATTTTTAAGCTTCCTCCAAGTTCAAATTGGTATTTTGATGTACAATTTTGTCCTACAAATCCTGATTTATTGGCTACAGCTTCTTTTGATGGAAAGGTATCAAGTTTATTTATTAATTTGATTTTTTTTTAAAAGTTTATTATTATTTATTTATTTTTTTTTTTTTAAACTTAAAAAGATTAGTGTTCATTCTTTACAATCAGGACATAATCAGAATGAAACCTATTCAATAGATAGTAATGATCCATTTTCACAAATCGCAAGAGATAATGAGCCATCGCTTACTCTTAAACTACCTCCTAAATGGTTAAGGCGTCCAATTGGTGTATCATTTGGATTTGGTGGAAAATTAATATCGTTCAATAATAAGACTGCAACAACAAAAAAAGGTGTCGTAGCTATTTCAAATATAGTTTCAGAACCTGAAGTTGCTAAAAGTTCTGATGAATTGGAAAATTCTGTGGAGGCAAAAACCTTAGATGTTTTTTGTGAAAAACGTGAAAAACAAGCAACCAGTGAGTTTGAATCTGAAAATTGGAGAATTCTTTATACAATGTTTAATGAAAATGAAAATGCTAGAGAACTATTGGTTAAAAATCTTGGTTTCTCAAAAGAAGATATTGTTGCAAAAATTTCAGATGCATTAAAGGCTATGAATCTGAAAGATCACACTGAATCAGATATCATTGATTACAATAAAAAACAAAAAAATGTTAATGATAATGATAAAGTTACCACTACTACCACCACCACCATCACCACAATTACTACCGCTACTCCTTCTGTTAGCGATGAATCAAGTGTTATAGAATCATTACCAAGTAGATCAGAAACTGTTGATGAACTTTTTTCAAGTTCAAACATATCTGGCAGTGATGCAGAGGCTTCCAAATTTTTTAGTCCAGATGTTATAAATAGTGATCCATTTCCTATTACAAATACTGACGACCCCACTTCGATACTTGCTGTTACATCGTCATCACCAATACCAAAAAACTTGGGTGCCTTCAAAATTTATCCAACACAAGAATCTGATGTTGACAAACTTATCACTAGATCCATTGTACTCGGCGACTTTGAATCAGCTGTCAAATTGTGTCTTGAGGCTGATAGATTATCCGATGCTTTGATTTTAGCTGGTTGTGGTGGTCCTGAACTTTTACAACATACTCGTAAAATATATTTTGAAAAACATGCATCCACTATTCCTTATTTACGTCTTCTTCAAAGTATAGTTTCAGGTGATTTATCAGATATTGTACTAAACGCAGACCTCTCTGAATGGCAAGAAGTTGTTGTGGTACTGTGTACTTTTGCTCGATCTGAGGAGTTCGGAGGATTGTGTAATGCACTAGGTCAAAGACTTGAAAAGGAATATCACAAATTGACAAATTATTCAGCAACCAATGAAATGAAAGCACAAGGATCAGAATATAGAAGAAATGCAGTTTTATGTTATCTGGCAGCAGGAAATTTAGAAAATGTGGTTAACATTTGGATTGCTGAACAAGAGGAAGAGGAACAAAGTTTACTTGAGAAAGCCACTCAAAATTTATCATCATCGTCAGAACACCCAAGTCCTTCCTCTAAATTCTTTTATCATGCAAAATCTTTACAGAGTTTAATTGAAAAGGTTACCGTGTTTCGTAAAGCAATTGATTATGTTGATTCAGATTTGATTCAAAATTTGGATGGATCAGTAGATTTAAATCAACAACAACCACATCGCCATTATAAACTAGCTCCTTTATATGACAAGTATACCGAATATGCTGAAATATTAATATCTCAAGGACGATTAACCACTGCACTCAAATATTTAAATTTAACACCAATAGATTATAAAAAATCCAATATTAATAAAGTCGATTCTTTGGCTGTGGTTAGAGATCGTTTATATAATTCTGGAGTTGATGTTGGTGGAACTAAAGCACCACCATTTCCATTTGAAGAGAAACACGTTGTTGGTGAAGGTGAAATAATTCCAACAGCCATTGCACCTACTGATACATCTGCATACCCTGCTGCACAAATTAATCAAAACTTTGCCCAAGCATATACTCCACAACAACAACAACAAATAGCTGATCCGCTAATAGCTGCACAACAACCTTACTTTAATCAATACAATTATAATCAACAACCTGTAGCTCCAAATGTGCCTCCTTATCAACAAACTCAACAAACGCCATATAACAATAATCCATATGCTCCACAATATAATTCACCAATTCAAAATCAAACTAATACTGGTTATCCATATCAGCAGCCAGTTTATCCTGCATATAATCAACCTCAATATCAAGATTCCGCTACGACTACTACCAATACAAGTTTTATCCCACCACCTCCGCAACCTTTTGCAAACCCTAATGTTCAGAATCAAAACTCGCCAACAGATATTACTCCCGCTGCAAACAAAAAAAACCTTGCCAATTGGAATGATCCACCTGTTGTTCCATCATCTCAACTTGCCAAAAAAACTAATCAAACTCAAGTTAATAAACTAACTCCAATTACAACCCCGTTCCAAAACCAAAATGCATTTGTACCACAAGGTATGGTGCCTCCTCCTGTTCAATTACAAGGACAACAAGGCATCTTACCCCCTCCTCCCCCTCCTCCACAATTACAACAGCAACAGCAACAATTGCCACCTCCACCTCCTCCTCCTCCTCCTCACTTACAACAACAACAACAACAACAACCACCACCATTACATTATCCACCACCATTACAAACGCAGCAACTTCAACAGTATCAACAACCGTCATTATTACCACCACAACAGCAACAGCAACAGCAACTACAGCAACAGCAACTACAGCAACAGCAACTACAGCAACAGCAACTACATCATCAACAACATCATCATCAACAACAACAGCAACAACAACTACATCATCAACAACTGCATCAGCAGCAACAACTACATCAGCATCAGCAACAGCAACTACAGCATCAGCAACAATCTCCACAAAATGCTGCAGCAGCTTATGCAAATCGTAAACCTCCAGGTGGTGCTGGTCCATATCAACAAACTGCACAACCAACAAATTTACCACCACCACAAACTCGTACTACTCAACAGCCTGCTGTCCCACCAACAGCACCACCAGTTCCTTCACAATCACCACAAGCTTCAACTCCTGCAAGAACACCAACTCCTGCAAGAACTCCAACTCCTGCAAGAGCACCAACTCCTGCGAAAACTCCTGTAAATAAACATTGTAAGTTCATTATTATTTTTACAAACATTCAAAATTTATATATTTTATCAATATTCTTATTTTTCTATGTTTTTTTATTTAGCTCCTGGTGACAGATCTCATATTCCTGATGCACATAAACCAATATTTGATGTTCTGTCCAGAGAATTATCGAGAGCAAGACAAAATCCTGTAAATTGACTAATTTTGAAAATTCTGTTATTTATGTTACATTTATGCCACCTTTACTAATATTTTAAAAAATTTTTTATTAAAATATGAAGCCTCATAATAAAAAATTATTAGATGATACAGAGAAACGTCTCAACGTTTTATTTGATGCTTTAAATAATGAAGATATTTTACCTGATGTGATTGAATCAATGATGGAAATAGTTCGAGGTAAGTCAATCGACTTTATAATTGGTTTAATTGAAAAAATAATTTATTATTTATATATTTATATCTTTTTAGCAATGGAAGCTCGTGATTATAATTTAGCAAATAGCCTTCAACTTAATTTGATGACTACTAGAATGGACTCTTGTGGAAAATGGTAAGCATTATTAAAATATAATTTAAAAATTCTTTACATGTTAATATTACTTAAACGATGATTATTTTTAGGATTGTCGGTGTTAAACAATTAATAAACTTGGTCAAAAATATACCATAATTAATTGTTTTTTATTATTCTTTGTGGGAATTTTTTCTTGATTATTTATTGAAAAAAAATTTTATTTGGATGAATATTATTATTTATTGTATTTATAGACAATTTAGTAATTAAAAAAAAATTAGTATTTTATAAAGAAATTTAATAAAAAAATTTTCACTAGCAATTTTTAAGCCGACTCTTTTTTAGATGAATCCTGTTGATGATGGATTATTTGAAAGTCAAGCAACACTAAGAAAACTCTCAATTGGAAAATCTGGTTTTGTTAACACGTAAGTATGTTGTTAAATTACTGGGATTCATAAGAGCTGCAAAGCCAGATAGAGATGAGTTTGGATGATATTGTATTTCTTTCTATTGCTTTGGTTATTAATATTGCAATAAATGTTAGAGAATAAATTTTACCTAAATTTTCTCAACTGATATTTGAATAAAATACACTGGTTCTACCAATTGTGCTCAGTTGACATCCCAGTTCAACAAGCAGACGTGGATACTTGGCTTAATTCATAGAGACTTTCGAAGTAAAGGGTATATAATTATTCAAGCGTTAAAATATGATTTTTTTCGTTTGCAAGATGCTAGATAACATTATAATTCTCAAACATGTCTCTGATATTTCATGCGCCTCATCTATATAAATGAAAAAAAAAGTTTCGCAACATCTTGACCTAGACAAGATGAATATTATTTTTTTTTTGCTTTGGTGAAAATAAAATCTTTCGAGTCTATTTAAAGGTTTAAAGGGTTTTATGTGCATTTTTCTTGAAATAAAATCAAATTTAATAGAAAATTAATAATTATTATTTATTAAATCCAAAAAAAAAACCTCAATCTTTTTGTATAAATATAATATTTTTAATTTAGTATCATGAACATTTTATTTTATTTTATTATTTAGAAAACCATTTTATGAGGGTGTTGACCTTTTGTAAGTGTAAATCTGGAAGCCAAGTAATCAGCAAGATCTGGAACTTTTTTTAAGCTGGCAACAATTCCTCCATCAATATCCTTTTGATCAGTAAGCCTGACTTCTGGAACTGTTTTCTTTGTCTTTAAATAAAAAAAATTTATTTTTAATTTTAAATCTATTACTATTTTAATGTAATAATGATGAATAATGATTATTATTATAGTACCTTTTGTTTTTGATCAAAAAATTCTTCTTCTGTAGATTTCTTTTTAGCCTCCTTTTCTCTCTTAAAATATGTATCATCAAATTTCTCAAACTATTAAAAAAACGTGTATATAAATATACACATGATATTTGTAATAAACCTATAATAAATATCAAAGAGTGATGATGACGAACTTACTGAACAAGTAGAGATATCAATTTTTGTTGATGTGGCCAACACGTAAGCTTGATTAACACGTCTTAATGGTACACCATTGATTTTGAATGGACCGGTGACAAGCAGTAAACCACTTGGAAGTTGCTTTAAGAAGACTACACGCTTTCCGCGAAAGCGGCCAGACAACAAAATCAAAACAGTACCAGGAGTGATGGAGGAACGAAGTTTGGTTGGTTTGTTTAGTTTGCGAGACTTTTTAGGATGTGGAACATCTTCAGCAGGATAGAATCTTGGAGCTTTTTCCAGAGGGACAACACGTTGTCCACCATTTTTATCACCTCCGATAGAAACTGTTTTAGTAGTAGGTGGTTTAGCTGTTGACTTCTCTATTGCTGTTTTCTTACGTTTATACAATGCTTTTTTTGCATAAACTTTGTTACGAGAGTAAGCTGTTATTCCAGGTGCAAGAAATTTATTACGTGGCATTTTTGAATTTTTTATTCTTTTTTTTTAAAAAAAAAATATCAATTAATTAATTTGTTTATTTAGCAATTGATTGATTTAATCAATTCATCTTTGAAATGGTTAATTCGATTTTATTTTATATATATATATAAAAAAATACAACATACCAAAGATCAAAAAATTTTTTTGTAATGAAAAAAATTATCTTTTTTTTATGTTACCTACTCTGGTGTAACAATTGGATATATTTAAAAAAAATATCTTGTAATTGAAAGATATGGAAAAAGGAATCAAATAGAAAATGAAAATACAAACGATGAGACAATTTTGGCTTTATATAGTTTATTTGCTTAAAAATAATCTTTAATTAAATAATCTTTTTATTCCACTTTTTATAAAAGAAAAGTCGATTTTAGATTCTTTGAATTTTTTGACCAATAGAATCTATTTATTTATAGTTAAGGATCCTGATTTTTCATTTTATATCTGATATATAATAATATATATATTTTTATTTTTATTCTTGTTTTCACAAAATTACGCGTTTTATCTTTAATTTTTAATTTCAACAAAATCTTCAATTTTTCAAAGTTTATCCAAAAATTTTCTTAAAATTTCAAGCTTTTTACTAAATAGACAATGGGTGAACAAGCAAAATCAATACAATTTGAAGGAATTTTTTATGGACTTTCAAATTTTCCAGGAATTCTTAAACTCGCTTCAAGTGGGCTTGGTTGGAAGACATCGTACACTAGTAATATTGTTACAATCTCTGCTGAAGAATTTAAGAAAATCCAATGGTATAGAGTAGCTCGAAATTATCAGTTGTGTGTAATTTTGAAGAGTGGGAATTCTGCTCGATTTGAAGGATTTTCACAAGAGGTATTGTCAAACTAAATTATTTTCCGAAATTATTTAATTTATTGATAAACAAATTTATTGTGTGATTTAGTCATTAGGAACCCTTAAAGATTTTATAAAATTAAATTATAAAATGACATTGGAAGTGAGGGAACTTAGTCTAAAAGGATGGCATTGGGGAAAACATGAATTTCAAGGTAACCTTAATAACATAACAAATAATTTTTAAAAACAAATTATAATATAGATCTATTTTAATGATTTTATTTATAAAGGAACACGGCTAGCATTTGCTGTTAACAATAAAACAGCATTTGAAATTCCTTTATCACAAGTAGCCAACTCTAATATAGTAAATAGAAATGATGTCTGTCTTGAGTTTACACTATCTGAACCAACATCAAACAATTCAACTAAAGGATCTCAAACTCATGATCCAGTTGAAATGAGATTTTGTATACCAGGGACATCAATAGTTAAAGACGAGAATGCTGAGAGTGGAAAAGAGGAGGTGGAAGATGAAGAGATGGAGGATGTGGAAGATGGCGAGGGTGGTGAAAAAAAAGATATTGAAGAAATAAGTGCTGCAAAAGTATGTGGTGATTTTTATTAGAAGCTTTTATAATGTATAATTGATTGAACAGTTAATAATTTTAATATTCATGTTTTTTTCTTCGTATATGCTAAGTTGTTTCATGAAACTGTTAAACACAAAGCAGACCTTGGACAAGTTTCAGGAGAAGAAATTGTCTTATTTCAAAATATCTTACTGCTTACACCTCGGTATGTTTATCATTTATTCAAGCGCACACACACATATATGTAAAGATTTATTATTAACGATTTATTTTATTTTATAATCAATAAAAAATTATTTATTTTAGTGGGCGATATGATATTCAATTATTTGCAAGTTTCTTCCGATTACGAGGAAAATCATACGATTACAAATTACCATATAATATTATTGTCAATTTATTTCTATTGCCAAAACTCGATGATCACCATATAATGTTTGTTGTAATGTATCTAGTATTGGTTTTTGTTTTAATATTGATGAATTATTATTTTACAAATTAATAATTGATTAATTAAATATTATTACTAATTATCATCATCTAAATAGATTGGTTTAGATCCACCATTAAGGCAAGGTCAGACATCATATCCTTACTTAGTATTACAATTTGAAAATGAACAAGAATCTGACATATTTTTGAATATTGATGAGTATATATTAGCATTTAAATTATCATCATCATTAATTTTTTATCATATTTATAATTTATTAATTTAATACTTTTTTAAAAAAAAAAAAATAATAATAATAGTGAGGTAAATGAGAGAGAATTTGAAGGTAAATTGGAACCTAAATACGAGAAACCTTTAGATAAAACATTTAGTCTTATTTTTAGTATAATAACAAAAAAGAAAATAATAAAACCTGGAGGTTTCTTAAGGTTCTTCATTAATTATTTTATTTTGTTTTGTTTTATTATTAATATTTTCGATCAACTAATCATTAACAAATCAATCAATTGATTGATCAATTTTAGTTCAGAGGATAAGTCAGCAGTTAAATGTTCATTGAAAGCAAATGAGGGTTATTTATACCCACTTGAAAAATGTTTTATGTTCATTCCCAAACTTCCTACATACATACCAATTCAAGATACACTTAGTGTTTCATTTTCCAGGTCTTTAAGATATTAAAATATTTAATTATGTAGAGTAAATAGCATAAATATAGTTTAACAATCTTTTCTCTGTGTGTATATAGAGTATCACAACAATCCAAGAAGAGTACAGCAGTACCACAAGCTAGAACTTTTGATATAAAATTTCATACAAAAAATGGCACGGAGTATCAATTCTCCAGCATCAATCGGTATAGTTATTTCATTTACATATATGTTGTGTGTGTGAATTAAATCAACCAATCAATAGAGGGAATCTCGCACCCAAACACTTCCATTTTTGATTATTATTATAAAATTTCAAATCCACGCAATTCATTTTTTCACTCACGACATATTAATTAATGCAGTAATTAATGTGATTTTGGTTTTTTTTTTCATAATAGACAAGAATTTGAAAATTTATTTAAATTTTTAAAAGAAAAGAATATTCATACAATTATTGAATCGCCTGATGAAGTATTTATGATAATAATAATAATAATAATAATAATAACATTGAATTTATAAAATTATTTATAAGGTTATAATAAATGTTTACTAATATATGTATACATGTATTTTTAGGGCACAGTCAGTTATGCTGAACTTATTAATGAAATTGGTGACTCAGATGATGATGAAGTGATGCCGTCTGGTAAAAATAGATCAACTGATAAAATGGATGTTGACGATGAAGATGAAGATGATTCAGGTATAATTGAATATTATTGAAAGATGATTTTTAAAAATTTTTTTCTTGTAAAATAAACATTTCCAAATAATAACTTTATAGTCGATGAAGATTTTGAAGACTTTGATGAAAGTGATGTGACTGAAGAATATGAAGAAAATCCTTGATTTTTTTTCGATGCAGATTAAGATTAAGCCTAATTTTAATTTTGAATTTACAATAAATATATTATTTTAAATAAATATTATAATTTTATAAAAAAATAATTGATTGTTCTTATTATAGTCTATATTAATATAATTCAATCATCTTTTTCTTTCTGTATATTCTAAATAATAAATATATTATTTAGTATCAGTAAATAGAATAAAGGGAAAAATGAACGACTATAAATATTACCTAAAATTTTTTACACAAGTTTTATATACAACATCTAAGTGCCTAATCGTTTCATCATATTCTTCTAAACTTATCTCCATGATTGATGAGAGATAAGTTCTATCGAAACAGTCAGAACTTGTCTCACCTATATAATCAAATAATAAAGATTATTTATTCGCCATCATAAAAGCATTATATTAATTTATTAAAATTACCACTACAAAATAATATATTTTACCATTTCACCAACCACACCATGACCACCTAACGGAGAATTTTTCATTTGATGACTAATTTCAATTATTTTATGAATTGATCCATCTATTATATCACATGATTTGTGCTATTAAATAGCCTGATAACATTAAGCAGCTTATTAAATGGTTCTTACAGTGATAAATTTTGTTGTCACTGGACCCTTAGAACATGGCATGGGTTCATTTTTCTAATAATAATAATGAATAATAATCATATAAACATATTCTCTTTATCACATCATAATATAACCCATTATTATATTTATTAATAATTCAATCCAACACCATTGATCAATTGTTAGTGAACTTGACATATTTTTTGATGAACAAATCAAAAGTATCATTTGGAAATGGTAAACCATTAAATATATTATGTCCAATTATAACCAGATTTGTTGGTAATTCTTTTTTAAAATCATTCAAATCAATTACTATATCAATTCCAACAAATGATGATTAGAGGTTGGAGTCGACTAAAATAGTCGACTAATTAGTCAACTACTAATACTACTAATACTAATACTAATGCTAATATTAATACTATGCTAATATTATTATTGTCTGACCAAATACGAGTTTTGTGTTTTATCATTCAAAATGGAAAATTTCTATGTGGAAGAGTATCAATACCATCAATATGATGATGATGACGACAATGGTGGTGATAATTTTACACGTGAACTAATAAACACTTCCGATACAAGGTCCAATAATTCATTGGCTTCAAGTTCCAATGATTTAAGCGGTGGTTCCAGAAGACCTTTTAAAAAAACGAATCGCAACACATGGTTTTGTGTGGAAGTATTTTGAAAAAGTGAAAGATTCAAATGGAAATGAATTCGTAATTTGCAAATTAAAAAAAAAAAAAAAGAAATATTATTATTAAAAAAAATTTTTAGTCGACTAAGGATTTTTTTTTTTTTGGACGATTCCAACCAACCTCTAATGATGATTTGGAAATTCCTCTGCCAGGTCCACCTCAAGGGAGCAATTATAATCATTAGATTGTCATAGGAGAAGTTTGATGATTTAATTAAATATCATTAAAATCAATCAATTTGCCCAATATTACAAATGCACCACCATTCTCTAATATTCCTTTCACAGAAGAAAATTTACCATTCCGTAAATGTTGTGATAAATTTCTAAAATTTCTAATTTAGACATTTACTATAAAAATAACATAAAGCTTTAGAAAGTCTAGGTGAATTAATAATTAATTAACTTACAATTTACCTTGTGGTAAATGCGCAATAAATTCTCTACCATCAACAATCTCGAATGTCATATCATCATAATCATCAACATCTTGTTATCATAAAATTTTTTTATTGCAATACTTCTAACAGATGGGAATTTTTGCAATGCATTGACACGACATCAAACAAAAAAAATTGTTTTTATTTTCAAGCATCGTCATTCGTCATATTATACAATAATTAATAATTTTAAAATCCAAAATTAGAACGTTTGAATTTGATTTCTACAATTCATAATTAATTAATTCATAAAATTAACTAGACGTGCTGAAATATTAGTCAATCAAACAAGCAACTACTATCTTGGCCGGATTGTAATCTTTAGAACCTTCTTTCACTATATTGACGTTAACTGAATTAAAAAATAATAATTATACGAATGATTATTCTGACAAAATTCCTTGGTATGAAATATATATTACAATACTTAAATTAAATGTTAATTAGGCAGATTAGGGATGCCTGACCCCTCGGGCATGAAGCTTTTACTATGATTAACCTTTGAATTGGTTAACATAATAATATATAATGTATAATTTCAGCTTCTATAAAAATTATGGGCATATACAATCATGCCATATATAATTAAAATTATCAAATAAATTCTTCTATTTTCTTTGGTCAGTCTTTAAACATTATTTATGAGCGTAGATGATGCCAAAGCTTCTCTACTTCTTCCTCTATGTTCTTGATAAAATATTAAAGAAATCTGACAAAAAATCTTTATTTACTCTGCAAAAAAAGAATTACTTTATTTTTACTAATCTATATACTTCATACTCTTCTAATAAGTGTACAGTCTGTTTATTATTTCTAAGATTCAAATTATTTTCATAAGAATTCAAAAAAGAATAAAAACAATAAGGTTGATTGCTAAAACTTTTATAAAACCGTAAATCATTAAAATGTATACCACTTTCATAAAATTGAATATTATCTGTAGTAATGTTAAAATATTGGTTATCATGGAATATTGCAAATTTAGGTTTTACAACTCTACTTAATATTAAATTGTTTATTTGATTTTCATCAATCTTGAAAATAAAACTTTTATCAGTATCAATTGAATAATAATCATTTGGAGGCCTTCCTTTTATATTCCAACAAACTGGATTGTAGCCACCAACCAATTCACCTGTTTCTTTAATTTTCATGATTGTTACAGTTTGTTTGATATTGTAACATCTATCCTCAAATGCTGACCTAGTAAATCCATCCCTATTTCCGCTATAAATTAATTTAAATTCATATTGTGGATCATTCTTGTTGTATATATTTATTTTCCAATCAATCCAGTTAGAAATTAAAAACTTCGATTTTAAATTTAAAAGTTTTCCTTTCATTGCTCTTGGACCTTTTTGAACCAGTATGTTTGGTTTCCATTTATCAGTAAGATGATATTGAAGGATTTCTTCATACACATCTTTATTAAAAGCTTTTTTAAATGGTGAAATTTTATAATAAAAATCACTTGAAGAAATTTCATTGAACCTTATTAATGGGATGATATCCTTTAATATATTTTTTAACTTTATGAAATCATCTTTTTTCCACTCTGAAATATCTTTATCCAATTTTTCATTTTGCCCTATTCCCCATTGTATAATATAATCCCAAATATCAATTTCATCTAGTCTTAAATTATCTCTTTTCAATATAGAGATAAGCATTAATTCTTCTATTGTTGAAATATCACTAGACTTTAAAAATAATTCTGGTTCATTACAAATTAATTCACTACAATAATCTTGAAGTAGATTAAATAATTGATGTCTTGATGAAATTTTATGAGCATAGATTAAATTTTGTTGAATCCATTCTTTTTCTTCTACAATTAAGTAACTTTGTAAATCCTCAATCAATTCATTAAAGTTTAATTCATCACTTGCTTCAAGAAGTTCAATAATTTCATTTGGATCCAAATCATCTATATTGATAATTCCATTATAAATATATCTTTTTTTTTTAAAAAAAATTTAAAGTTAATTTTTAAAATAAACCATGATTAATTAATTAATTAATTAATTATTCAAATTCTTACTTTAAAAGAACTTCAAATATTTTTGGAGAAATATTTTTTTTTTCAAATAAAATAATTCCATCTTCAGATTTTTTCATCCAATTATTTGATAATGCTGCTTTAAAATATGAAGATCTTGCTTTCAAAATATTGGAATGAGCTTTAAAAGTTTTAACAACGACAAAATCATCATCATCATTAACATCAACATCAGCTTCAGCATCTCCAACTTTAATTTCTACATCATAGAAATCTGATTCATTCAACAAATCGGCTAAATCATTCACAAGCTTATTAAGATATTTTAATGGTAAAGAATCTTGATTAGGATTTAAAATATTATTAAATAATAAACTATTAGGCATTTTGAAGAATTTTTATATATTAAAAAATTTGAAAGATTTAAAAGAGTGAGAAAGAAATTGTTATAAAGCGGTGCAACTGTTTTTGTCTTATATCTTTTATATCATTTTAATTTTTATTATTTTGAAAAATTGAAGTTTCACACGCAATTAAAAAATTGCTATACATAGTAATCACAAGATTTTCATAGCAAATGCATGAGTCACATCATCTTTATTTAGGAAACCATGAACATCATTTCTTTACTAAATTAAAATAACAACTTGAATACAAGTATTTTTTCCGCATGACTCCTTTTAATCGAACGATTTAGTTTCTTCTGAAATTTTTTTTTGGTCGAAAATTTATTAAAATAAAATTACCCACAAATCTTAATTTTAGAAAAAGTGGTGTGTTAAAAAGTTCTTTTTTTGATCATTACAACTGCCCACATTTTTTCTTATTTCAATCTTCTCTAAACTTTTAATAAACAACAATCCACGTAAAGCTATGCCCATACGAAAGCTTAGGATATTTCATATCTTTTCAACCACTCATCAAGTTTATAAAGGTAATATTGGAGAAAATCTTAGTTTTGAAGCGAAAGGTAATGTTGTTTTTTGAATGACTCTACCAATATGGGAGAGAATTTATTAGAAGGACAGTAGTACCGCTTTTCCCCTACTTGGAATTTACTTGTTTCTATATTTGTCAATAAATGGTAGTACGGGAAATTATCATGATAATATTCAGAACGAATGAACTGAACGAACGTACAGAATGTACAGAACATACAGAACCAAGAAAACTCAACTTGTACTAAACAGAATTATTTTTTTCTTGATTGAAAAGCTCGACGTATGCGTGAAAGATTGATTATTAAAGGTTTTTTTTTTTTACAATCAATATTATCATTCATTATTGATGGATAGATATTTGGTCTTTTTTTTATCTCACTATCTACATCTACACTACAAAACAAGACAATGCTTAAGAAAAATCTATACCCGAATATAATATAGTCACAACTCATTAAGATGATGCTTTGATAAAACGAATATACACGGTAAACCAATGTTTTTATTATCTACCTATTAAAATATATCAATTTATTAAGATTTTTTTAAACCAATGTTTTTTTTTTGTGAAAAACATAGACTCGGTTTAAAGAGTTTTGACTGTACGGTATTTTTATTTATGTTTTTGTAGTGTTTGTTAAATTGCCCACACAAATTTTTTCTTACAAAATAACCAATATCATTTTGTTGTTACACGTCATAAAATTTTTTTCATCATTATCATCAGAAAGGAGAGAATTTTTATATAAAATTTATAATGAAATGTTTAATAATACAGAGGCTGGTTTGATTATTATTTTTTTCACTAGTCAAAGACAAGAAAACTTTCTGAAAATGGAAATCATATTGTAGAAAAGTTTATTTACGAGATTAGATTAAATGATGCAATTTATAAAGAAGGCAATCCAAAAAAATGTAACAAGTGTAAATTGGTAAATACTCTGATAGATTCTGTGAAGGTTGTATTAGTTTAAGAGTCTTTTTAATACTTGGTTATCTGGAAATGACATAGTTAATAACTTTATTCAGCAATGTCAAATGAAGTCATTTTGCCATCTTTTATTTTAGAATGGATACCTCTTGAGCAATTTGAAGGTATAACAAAATTGACTAAAGGTGGATTTAGTTCAACTTATACTTCTGGATGGACTAGAGGAGGGATAATTGATTTAATGAAGAGGAAATGAATTTAGTTATTTAGGAAGAGAGCATGTAATATTAAAATGTTTAATGATTCAAGTAATCCAGCAAAAGGCTTTTTTAATGAAGTTGGTGTTTTTATTTAATACAAAAATAAATAATGCTGTATTATATAATACTCGTTGATTTGATATTTAACTACAGGCAATGGGAATTATCATAAAGTTAAATCAGGGATCGTTCTTTGTCATTATATAACTAATGGAAATTATGCAATAGTTTTAAATTATCTTCCAGAAAGAAATTTAGGGAATTATATATTATTTACAAGAAAATCATTCTAATAAAATAGAATTGTAATTTTTAGATGGTTATGTGTTGCATTACATTATATACATGAAAAACATTTAATTCATTGTGATTTACGTATTAATAAGTGGAGGTATTTGTTATATTACAGATTTGGGGTTATATGGACCAGTTGATGAAAATGATCAAAGTCTATGGAATCATATCATATGTTGCACATGAGCTACTTTGAGGTAAAAATAATGCAAAGAACAAAAAGAAACTGATATTTACAGTGTTGGATGTTAATGTGGGAAATATTGCAAGCCATCCACTATTTTGATAATAGAGCTCGTAATCATTGTTTAATTTTTGATATATGTGAAGGTTTACGACCACCAATATTACTCGAAATGCCTGATGATTATGCGCAAACAATGCATAAATGTTGGGATTATGGATCCATTAAAAAGACCAACCATTAGTGAAATTTCAAACTTTGCTGAAAACAAACATTGTGAATTTTTTAATGATAGTAATAATAATAGTAGTAGCAGTAGCAATGGTTTGCAACAAACACATACCACATCCAGATGCATATCATGCAAGTGGAATATTAAATGATGAAATTGCTAAATCTAAGAGTTTAAAAATTTATAAATAATCTTGATTTTAACTCTCTTCTCTTAAACGAAGGTGAATTAATTTTTCATTGCTAACAATCTTTTTTATTCGCATTTAATTAATCATAAACATTAGATTCTAGAATTGAGGATGAATAATTTAATCACATCATAAATTTATTCATTATATTTTTATTTTGTCTTTATTTTATTTCTTAATGCCTAATTATAATAATAATAGGTTTTTATTTTAATTCTTGTTTTTTTTATATTACGCTACGCAAATTAAAATTCCGCTTTTTTGTTGCTTAACTGAATTACTGTGTAATTTAAAAATCACTAAACAAAACTGCAAAAATAATTTTTGTAATATTAGCATTAGTAATAATGTTGCACGGTTCGGGAAATTTTTATTAATATTAATATTAATAATATTAATATCACAAAAATTACCAAACCAAAGAGGACTAAAGTCTCACCCAAAGATCTACTACATTAGTTGGTTTGTTTTTATTAGGATCTAAATAAAAACCTTAAACTTATCAGATCAGTATTCTGATTGATATCTGATTATTTATTACTATAATAATAATAATTTTTTGAATTAGGAATTGAAATTCTTTCTTCTCATCCTGAATAATAATCCTCAATAAACTGTTGGATGTGTTTGATTTTTGTTGATGTTGTTTAAGTCAGCGTGTATTATTATTATTCTGCTGGTGTCTTTAAATATTTTTTTTTAAATAGTAACAAATTCGGTCAAGAGGTTTGCTGTAACAGGCAGAGTACTGGTAGATGATAATGTTCTGAAATACACTAGTGGAGACTTGGAGACTTGGGGACTTTACATGTTTGTTGTGGTTTCTACCTTTGGTTTTTGTCATTCAATATTATTTATTTATACAAAAAGAAAATTATTTGATATGTTACTATTAAAATACTCTTGTCGTCTTTAAATCGACTTGCTCATTGCAAATAACGATTGAAGAAAAAAGACAGATCAGAAAATCCCGTATATATAACATGTTTGCGAAACGCATTTACATCATTTACATCATTATTTATTTATCTTTCACTCACACATGCATTTATTAATTGTTTGATTGGCGTTATCATCGATTAATTTAATTTTAACTTTTTATTTAAATATCTTTGGATCATCCACAAACATAATCTTATTTTTCTAATGTTTTTGGTATAATCTCTTATTATACTAATGTTACGGGAAATAATAAACAAACAAAAGCCATTTTCAATCTCAGATCACCTAATATAGAAATAATTCGAAACACAAGATATAAAATTATCTTATCATATCATATAAATGATAATTATCGTCATCTACTGATGTTATTATTCTTGTAGATCTAAAACTTAGTAGTGTACATGGTGATTATCTTTTCGTTTGTTTGCGCGTTATTTTTTATATATATATAAAGATGTAAAATATTCATTATTAAAATTTTCCCAAAGAAATTTAAAAATTAATCCCCAATTTAATTAATTTCTTCAATTCTTTTTTTTTTTTTTTTTTTTGAAAAATGTTTAAAAGTTTTGTTAGATCTCCAAGTCCAATTCGTGTACCTTTATTATACAATAATCGTAGAATTTCATCCAATTCAACAATAACTTCACTATCATCAAATTTATCAAAAACAACAATTAAAACAACAAATAACAATAAGATAAACAGTCGTTGTTTGCATCAAAATGTAAAAAATATTAATACTACATATGCAAATCGAATTTACAAAAACACCACATCATCAAATTCAATCTTTAATACTACACCAATAGCCCTCTCTTCATCGAAAAATTTGAATTCTTCAATTCGTCATCCTTTATCCACAACCACAAAAATTTCATATCATTTTTACAGTACAACCGCAATAAACAATAAACAATTAAATGAAAATAAAAGTGCTGCAAAAGATGTTAGCGAAGAAATTTTCACATCAGTTCCTAAAGTTGATGTTAAAAAAGTACTTGTAGTAGGATCCGGAGGTCTATCGATTGGTCAAGCTGGTGAATTTGATTATTCCGGTATTTATCATTATCATTTATTATTTATTGCTGTTAATGATATTGTTGTAGCATGGAATTAATTAAAATCTTTTTATAAATAATAATGTATAGGATCACAGGCTATTAAAGCTCTACGTGAATCCAATGTACATACAGTTCTTGTAAACCCCAATATTGCCACAATTCAAACATCACATGCTTTGGCAGATACTGTCTATTTCTTGCCTGTCACTGTTGAATATTTAACCTATATTATTGAACGTGAAAGACCTGATGGCATATTACTTACTTTTGGTGGCCAGACTGGTCTTAATGTTGGTATTAAGTTGGAACAAATGGGTGTTTTGTCAAGATTGGGTGTGAAAGTTTTGGGTACTCCAATTCGTACCTTGGAAGTTAGTGAAGATAGAGATCTTTTTGCTAAAGCTTTGGGAGGTAATTATCACATATTCTATAATTTAACAAATCAAACAAATTAACAATTGATAATAATTAATAACAACCAATGAATTATTTTAGAAATCGATATTCCTGTTGCACAATCCACTGCAGTAAATACTGTTGATGATGCACTTAAAGCAGCCGAAGAAATCGGATATCCAATCATTGTTAGATCTGCATTTGCGCTTGGTGGTCTTGGTTCAGGTTTTGCTAATACACCTGAGGAATTACGTAGTTTGTCCACCAAATCTTTAGCATTGTCAAAACAAATCCTTGTAGAGAAGTCCATGAAGGGTTGGAAAGAAGTTGAATATGAGGTGGTTCGTGATGCTGCAAATAATTGTATTACTGTTTGTAATATGGAAAATTTTGATCCATTGGGTATTCATACTGGTGACTCAATTGTGGTTGCTCCAAGTCAAACTTTAAGTGATCAAGAGTATCATATGCTTCGTACTGCTGCAATCAAAATCATTCGCCACTTGGGTGTTGTTGGTGAATGTAATGTACAATATGCCTTGAACCCTGAAAGTCTAGAATACAAAGTTATTGAAGTTAATGCTCGTCTTAGCCGTAGTAGGTTAGTATTAAATGGATATATATCTATTATGGTTTATATTCTATATTCTATATTTATAATTAATTAATTTTTTAATAGTGCACTTGCATCAAAAGCCACTGGTTACCCACTTGCATTTGTTGCTGCAAAAATCGCCTTGGGTCACACACTTCCTGAACTCCGTAATGCTGTTACCAAAACAACAACTGCCTGTTTTGAACCTTCTTTAGATTATATTGTAACAAAAATTCCAAGATGGGATTTAAGTAAATTTCAACATGTAAGACGTGAAATTGGTAGTTCAATGAAGAGCGTTGGTGAAGTAATGGCTATTGGTAGAACTTTTGAAGAAAGTTTACAAAAGGTATTTATAATTTCTATAAATAAATAATAATAATAATTAATAATAATAATAATAATAATAATAAACATGTGTCTTATACATGTATCTTTATAGGCTATTCGTCAAGTTGATCCATCTTTCAAAGGTTTCCAATCTATTCCATTTAATGACCTTGACAGTTCATTGACAATACCCACAGATCGTCGATTATTTGCTGTTGGTCAAGCAATGATTGAAAAAAATTATACAATTGATCAAATTCACAATCTTACCAAGATTGATAAATGGTTTTTACACAAACTAGGCAATATTGTCAATGTTCAACATGAATTAACACATGCTGGAAAACTTGAAAATATTTCAAAAGAATTGTTACAAGAAGCTAAAAAGAAAGGATTTTCTGATGCTCAGATTGCCTCATTTTTGGAAAAAAATGTTACTGAAGATCAAGTCAGAAAAGCTAGAAAAGATGTTGGTATTACACCATTTATTAAAAGAATTGATACTCTTGCTGCAGAATTTCCAGCACAAACAAATTATTTGTACACCACATATAATGCTTCAACTCATGATATAGATTTTAATGATCATGGTACTATGGTGTTGGGATCTGGTGTATATCGTATTGGATCATCTGTTGAATTTGATTGGTGTGGTGTATCAGCAATTCGTGCACTTCGTGACATGGGTAAAAAGACTGTCATGGTAAATTACAACCCAGAGACTGTTTCAACCGATTTTGATGAGTGTGACAGACTTTATTTTGAAGAACTTTCATATGAGAGAGTTATGGATATTTATGAACAAGAAAATGCTGAAAATATAGTTGTATCTGTTGGTGGTCAATTACCACAAAATATTGCTTTGAGATTACACCAAAATAAAGTTAATATAATGGGTACCAGTCCTGTTATGATTGATAAAGCTGAAGATAGATACAAGTTCTCCCAGATTTTGGATCAAATTGGTGTTGATCAACCTGAATGGAAGGAATTGACTAGTGCTCAAGAAGCTGAAAAATTTGCTGATAAAGTTGGGTAAGTTGAATTAACCAAAAAAAATCAATTAAAAAAATTTTTTTTTCAATACAGTATAACCCTCGTTTCAACGGATAAGTTTTCATAATGTGTGACAAAGATTTTTAAAATCCGTTGAAACGCGAATTTAATTATAATCGTTGAAACGCGAATTTAATTATAATCCGTTGAAACGTGAATTTAATTATAATCCGTTGAAACAAGGGTTATACTGTAATAAACGCTTTTATTTATTTACTAATCGCTTTATTTATTTGTGTATTTTTTATAGATACCCAGTTCTTGTTCGTCCATCATATGTACTTTCAGGTGCTGCCATGAATGTTTGTCATAGTCATGAAGCACTACACAAAAATCTTTCTGAAGCTACATCTGTTTCACCATTACATCCAGTAGTTATTACCAAATTTATTTTGGGTGCCTCTGAAATTGATGTTGATGCTGTAGCCTACAAAGGTAATCTATTGGTTCATGCAGTATCTGAACATGTAGAAAATGCGGGTGTACATTCTGGTGATGCAACCTTAGTTTTACCACCTCGTGACATCAATGAAGAAACAATGGAAAATTTAAAGGTGATTGCACAGAAAGTTGCAAAAGCATTTGAAATTACAGGACCATTTAATATGCAGATCATTAAGAAAGATGAACCTGATGGTGCAGTAGAATTGAAGGTTATTGAATGTAATCTTAGAGCATCTAGATCATTCCCATTTGTTTCTAAAGTTCTTGGTGTTAACTTTATTGATGTTGCAACTCGTGCTTTGTGTGATGAAAATGTACCTGAACCAGTTGATCTTATGAAAGAAAAGAGAGATTACCAAGCTGTCAAAGTACCACAATTCTCATGGACTCGTTTACAAGGAGCTGATCCATTCCTTGGTGTGGAAATGGCATCAACAGGAGAAGTGGCATGTTTTGGTAAAGATAAATATGAAGCTTACTGGTCAGCCATTCAATCTACACAAAACTTCAGAATACCAGAACTTGGATCTGGCATTTTAATTGGTAGAGACGAACTTACAAATGATGAAGATTTCTTTACTGTTGCATATACATTATCAAAGGATTTAAACCATCCACTGTACACAAGTTCACAACAAGTAACAGACTGGTTAAATAAACGTGACATACATGCTAAAACATTATCTTTACCAGTTGATGATAAAAAAGAATTACAAAAGGCTTTCAAAGATAATAAAATAGATTTTGTATTTAATTTGGCACAACTTAGAGCACCAACTATTAATGATGAGAATTACATTGAAAGAAGATCAGCTGTAGATTTTGGTATACCATTGGTTAATGATAGCAAATGTGCCAAATTATTTGTAGAAGCTCTCAAGAGAAAAAGAATTGAATTTAGTGAACTGGCTGATGGTAAAATACCAAATGAAGTTAAAAGTTGGTCAGATTTTATTGGAGGAAGATATTGTTAAAATATGATTTTTTCCAAGAATATATATATAAATATAAATATGATTTTAATCATTCATGTAAACTATTAATTTATAATTTTTTTTTTACAACCAAAATTAAATAATTTAAATAATGCATTTTTTTTAATCATAATTTTTTAATACATTTAATCATTTTTTTCATCCGTTTTTTTTAATTCATTTTTTATAACTTTATTCGTAAAATAAAAAAATAAAATTTTTTAATTTAATTGATCAAGTAGTACATATGTATGTGTTAGTGACTTGAAACGACATGTGTAACTCTCATTTTTCCCTCCTGATGCACGCAGCATACATCAATAAACATTAGAATTAGTATATATGATGATAGTGCGTAATCATCAACAATTCTCCTGATTTATATTGTTATTATTATTTTTCCTATATATATACAAGTTTTATTTTTACAGCCCCCATTTATTATTCTCACTCTCTTCTTCAAAAAAAATTTTTCCCATTAACAACAATATAGACATCGTTGTATTAACAAAAACATTTCTTTAATAAAAATTGTTGATATTTTTTTAAAAACGTGTGTTAAAACTTGGTTTTTTTCTTAAATTATAAATAATAAATAAACAATAATTCAAAAATGAGGTCAAAATTCAAAGATGAACATCTCTTTGGTATGTATATGTTAAACCATTTGTAAAAGATAATATTGGTTAAATCATTTAAATATGTTTGTTTGTAGAAAAGTTTAAATATTTATTCTTATTAAAAAATTCATATATATATATATATATATTTAAATAGAGAAACGTAAAGCCGAAGCTGAAAGGATTAGACAAAAATATCCTGATAGGATTCCGGTAAGTCAATATATGATGATGATAATAAATACAATAAATAAATTTTTCCAAGTAGCTAAAAAAACAAACATCAAACATCGTCTTATTAATTAATTAGGTTATATGCGAAAAAGTAGAAAAATCAGATATCGCAACAATCGATAAAAAAAAATATTTAGTTCCAGCAGATTTAACAGTTGGACAATTTGTTTATGTGATTCGTAAACGTATCAAGTTGAGCCCGGAGAAGGCAATTTTTATTTTTGTTGATGAAGTTCTTCCACCAACAGCTGCACTTATGTCAAGTATTTATGAAGAACATAAAGATGATGATGGATTCTTATATATAACGTAAGTGTTTATTATTAATTGTAGAGATGTGGTGGGGTTTAGTAGATATTAGATACGGTATATGGTACATGGTATATAGTCATATTCATTATTGGAGAAAACTCATTAATTTAATTTCTTTGATTTTTTATAAAGGTATTCTGGGGAAAATACATTTGGATTTTAACCAATAGTTGATTTGATTTGATGAGTTAATAAAGCTTAATTATCTAATTATCGTTATTCTTAATTATATATAGTTTGATAGTTTTTTTTTTTTATATTTTTTTTATATTTGTTATTATGATTAATGTTGTTAATTTTGCTATAATTTTTATGTATGAATAAAAAAATTGCAAAGAAATTATTATTGTATTGAATTACTAATTTTTAATTTTTAAATCATGGGATTTTAAAAAATACCAAAGTAATATAATAATAAAGCAATCTCATTAATCTCATTCCAAAACGGAAAATTTTATTTTACCAAAAAAAAAAAATTCATTATTATTTTTTTTTTCATTTTTTATTGTTTTATAAAATTTTGTACAATATTTTTTACTAATCGGGAATTAATTTAAAAATTCAAAAATGAGAAAAATAGAATGTTTATGTAATGTCAATAACAATATAATAATAATAATAAATAATAAAGATATTTATAATGTGTATATGTTTTGTGTGTGTAAAATGAAAAAATGTATGTATATTTATAAAAAAATGGTGCAATATATATAAAAAAAAGAAATATATAAAAAAAAAAATAAAAAAAAATATTTAATATTTACTAAAAATTTAAAGAGAAATTTTAATAAATAATTTCTTTTATTAAATTCCTCATATATAAAATAAAAATAATAAGATTATTTAATGATTATTATCACCATTATCAAACTCTGACTAATCATTCTAATTGTCTTGATTAACTATATATTGATTTGATATATTTCTAAATAATATTTTATCTCACACATCTAAATAATGATAATAATTAAAAAGGGAATTATAATAGTTTTTTTTTTGTTATATACAAATTTAGAGCGAAATATTATTTTATAATCGTGTATATATAAAAGAAGAGAAAAAATAAAATGAGAAAAGAAAATAAATATTATGAGGAAAATAAAAGAGTAAACGCTAAAAGAAATAATAATAATAGTTGTAGATTTGATTTAATTAAATTGTTGTTGCTTTGTCAATTGATTGATCTTTGAATGCATATGAGTACGTGAATGTGTGTGAGTTTGTGTATTATGTTGTATAAAAGCGTTTGTATGTGAGTATATGAATGAGTAGTTGTGTATAAAAAGTATAATAATAATAATAAGATGATATGTAAAAGGGTAATTGGAAAATAAAAAGGGGAAAATGTACAAATGAAGTGTGAGTAAAAAAATTTATTTATTTATTTATATAATAGTTGTATTAAGGGGAAAGAAAAGCAAAAAAAAATATATAATAAAGCTATTAGGATTGAAATAAGATTAATCCCAATAATCCCAATAGTCATTGTCATAATTAATCATTAATAATAATAAATAAGCATGTTTTAAATTAATGTTTCTCTATGCAAGCAATATCAACCAGGATTTGCGCTGCCTGTTGAATTATCATAATTAGTGATGATTGATATAATTTGTTGTGATGGAGATAGTTTTTTTGTTGTTTAATATTTTGTTGAGATGATCAATAAATAAAAATTTTGTTAGTAAAAATTCATTAATTAAATCAAATAACAACAATATTATAAAGATAACTAATCAATTGATTATCATTATTATATTAATAAGTTACCTCCATCATTTGAACTTGTTGATGTTTCGTCAAGTTAAATTTGAGACAAAGATCCCAACTTTCATGATGTTCCCATAAGTGCTTTTTAATTATTAATAATAAAGCGATGTTAATGTTTTGTAAATATGAAATGCTTATAATTCACCATCATCGTCACATGATAAGATGTTGCAATTACCTTAACCAAACAATTTCTATGTTTATAGTTTTTACCACAATTGTTACAAGTATATGATGTTTTTGATGAAACGGCAGATGGTGGAGGACTATTACCACCTTCTTCGCTTTGGCTATCAACGGGAGTTACTATTTGATTATTTTCTTCATATTTTATTGTTAATTCAGAGTTACGATGACGATGATGGTCACTAATCACTTCCTCCGTCACTGCTAAATGAAAGAATAGAATAAAATGTCAAAAAATGAAAACATAACAAGTAATATGTATATATGTATATATGTGTATACATAAATATATCTATATATTATATTCATCAAATTATTGTTATTGTTGTTGTAAAGCAGTGGGGAGGAAATACTTACCATCAGTCGAGTAATAGTTTGCACCTTTAGAGTATTTATTTCTGTTAGAAGCGGCCGATGTATTGTTAGTTCTTGTTGTGTTAGTAGTATTGGTAAAAGGACTCATTTTGTTATTGTTGTCAAGTTGTCTGTTTTTGTTTTTTTAAAGATATATATGGATGGAGGTTTACGAACGAAGAAGAAAAAATAAATAAGAGTATTTTTTTGTTTGTTGGTTGTTGTTATGAAAAAAATAATAAAATAATAAGTGGTTTGTTTTTTTGTTGTGATAAAAAAAAAGATTATTTGTTCTGATGAAAAAATAATTTTTTTTTTGCTAAAAAGATAGATTAAAAAAATTTTTTTTTAAAATAAAAAATCATGATAAAAATTTTTTTTTCTCCACCTTTTTATAAAAATTTTGGCGTAAAAAAATTTTTTTTTTTTCAATAATAAAATATATATAAAAAATAAACAATAAAACATGAAATAATAAATATGGTAATGTTGATGATGGTTCTCTCATAAAAAAAAACCCAATTTTTAAACTAAATTGATAGACTGATAATTTGCACAATGATACGATGACTTCATCAATAGCTAAATTTTTTTTGTTTTTGATCATGTGACTAAATTATAAATTTGATATGGTTAGTTTGATATTTTTTGATTTGAAATTAACAGAATTAGAGAGGGATAGTAGTGGTGTGTTTATTATAATTAATAATTGATTATTATTCTGCTAATTATCATGACGGACGTTATGGATTTTTCTTTAAAGGCCATTCATTTTTTTATGACGCGTCATCAAAAAATTTAAAATTTCCCGCTTTTTTTTTTTTAATTTATGAGTCATAACCATTCTTATCACAATATTAATTGCAAAAATAAATAAATAAAATAATAATTATATTTTAGGTAAAAAGAAATTAAGAAAATAATGTATTTTATAGGAAACTATCAACAAAATATTTGTATTTTACCTCCACGTGACTTACATATTGTAGATCAGAATGAATAAATTCACAGTAAGATTTATTATCGAGTTCTCTCTCTTATTTGCCAAATCTACGTTTATTATTGAGAAAAAAATGAGAAAATATGTAATGAACCTTTTCTTAATTGGGAATGGATAACGTGGGGGGAGGTAATCTGAAATGTAATCCTGGCTATTATGTTACTATTACTATGTATATCTTTGTTAAAATTTTTGGGGTGAGGTGCTTTGATGTGAAATTCCGATTGGCTAATTTGAACTTCACACATGTCAATTTAAAAAATCGATTTTGACACACACAACATTTCCAAATAAAAAATATCAACAATGAATGAACTATAAAATAAAACAATAATATATCTTTTTGGTGTAGTAACAGCATCAGTATCACCCATTACTTGTAATTTTAATTAGAGAGGAAAATTAAGCATCCAAATTTTTTTAAAATTCACACCAGCTTCACGAAATATAATTTATTCTAAACAATATTGTAAATAAAAAAAAAGAGCCAAGATGCAATTCCAAGTATTCTTGTTCAAAGTATTTACAAGTGGATAAAGAATCTAATCATCATTATTATTGATTAGATAAATATTACAAGTTTTCTCATTTAGGATTAGACCATTTTACTTCCTGTCAAAAACGATCAGAGAATAATTTACTTATTTATCACTTAATTTATTGAAGACAATAGGCAAAAAAAAAAAAAAGCTGTATAAGAGTTTAATCTAATTAATTGACTCGGAATAATATTTTTCTAATAAAACATATTGATTAAGTACTCTCTTTTTTCCTTTCTTCGTCGATCATCTTTCCTTTTTTTTCTTTGTCTTCACGCCATATTTTGGTGCTTTCCCATATTACGATAATTAAACATTAACATTATTAATATTTATTATTAATATTATGATTTTTTTTAGTTATGCTATTTATAATTCACGTGATAATAATGTATAGGATAATTGGGGTCAATAAATTGGGTGTCCTTCCTTTTCATAAATAGACTCAAATGGACTATCCAACGGAAATTTTAAATAAAATATTTGAACTAAATAAAGATGATTATGGAACATTGTATTCTTGCATTCTAGTCAACAAAAAATGGTGCGATATTAATATTCGAATTTTATGGAGAGATCCATTCTATTCTGAAGACGCAATGAAAATATTAATTAATTGTATATTGGCAGAAGATGGGAATTTCTTAAAAGAGTATGATATCAAATTAACTTTTGAACTGTTGGAATACCAACCTTTATATAATTACGCTAACTTTGTGACCACAATTGATTTTATAATAATTGTTGGTCGATTCTACGATTTGATACAAGAATACAAGTCTAAAATTTCTTTTTTAAAGGAAAGGTTGTTAAATTTTATTTTAGATCATTCACCAGGTATTCAAAAATTTAGAGTCTCTGAAACCAATGAACCAGAACATAATGTTCAGTTGATTATCAATCATCCCAAGTTTGATAATTGTTTTCAAAGTCTTCACGAACTGGAGTGTGATTTTTATACGAATGCTAAATTACTTGATATGTTAACAAATACTTGTAAAGATATCAAATCGATAAGAATCAAAGGAAATCGTTGTTATCGATACATAAATAATAATCTAGTTCAACTAATCAAAGCACAGAATCAAATCAACCAGTTAGCTATTCATCCAAAAGATGATGTCATTTTATCAGACAATTACAAAGAAGCAATATTGGCACATTCACAGTCAATAATTGAATATTCAAGCAATTTAAAAAGTAATTTGGATTCTGTAATAACACCAAGCTTTCGAAACTTGAAGGTTTTAATTTTATTGTGTCAACGCGATACTGATTTTGAAAAAATCAACACCATTACATTTCCAAGTATCGAAGAATTTATATTATTCACCGAACTGCCGCCATTCGTATTATGCATTGAAATATTCTTGGAAACCAATGGAAAGTCTCTTAAGGTTATAGATATTGGTAGTAATCAAATTGATGATCTTGAATATTGGAGTAAACTCGTTCAATCAATTGGGCAAAATTGCGAAAACCTACAAGATTTATCGATACTTTACAGAAATCAGTTGGATCAATCGTTAATTGGATTATTTAACAATTGTATTAAATTAAAATCAATTAGATTTAGAAAATCTTCTCCTCCGCATTATGTAATTGATGGCGATAAAATCTTAACAGTATTAAATCAAACACAACCCAAGAATTTAAAAATTTTAATTTTTGAACATATTTTTCGTATTATGAATGTTAAAACTTTAAGTAATCTGGTTGAGAAGTGGGAAGGATACAAGCCTCTTACGATCATATTACCTAAAGATATAGATCCTGTCACAATATTTTTATTAAAAATGTATCAAAATAGCAATTTTTTGAAATTAAGTTTGTAAATTATTTAAATGTAATTTGCTAATAATTATATTACTATTTTGATAATTTATTTGTAAAATAAACAGAAAGATCATTCTATGTATACTCTGTTAATAAATAGTAAAGTCTTCTTTTTCTGCAACAATAGGACATATTATTCATGTCCTATGTATGTATATCTTTTATTTTTTATCTATATGATAATCCTTATTCATTACGCAATTTAAAAAAGTCAATAGTAAATTATTGCAACAATAGGTAGGACATATTGTTATTCATGTTTTATGCGTGTATATCTTTTATTTTTTTTTAATAATCCCTTGTTACAATTTAAAAATAAATAAAATAGCATTGATTTAATATTTAACATTATTTTTTTTAAAAAAAGAATTTGCTATACAGTGATATACATGATAAAATATATAAATATATAAATATATAAATAAATAAAATTACACAAAAGAATTATAGAGATAATAATAATTATTACTATTAGGCAAGATAAGAGGAAGCGCTAACAGCTCCACCATGACCAGTCCAATTAACATGAACATCTTGATCTTTAGGATGATTTTCATCGGTATATTCATCAAGATATCTGAATGTATGAGCACTAGTTAACCGAATCCCCACCCCCAAAAAAAAATCATTTGTTTAATTATTGAAATAAAATTTATTTTAACAAAAAAAATAAAAATAAAAATAAATGGACATATTACAAACCCGAAATAATCGCGCATTCCTTGAAGAAGACCAGCAGGTAGTTTTTCATGTCTATAACCATCATAAAATGAAAGTGCTGATGCAAATGCGGGAGTAGGAATACCAAGTAGAACTGTTTCTGAAATTACTTTACGCCATGAATGTTGTGCTTTTTCAATAGCATCCTTAAAGAATGGATCGAAAAGAAGATTTTCAAGATTTGGATTATTGGTATATGCATTTTTAATATCACCTAAGAAAGCACTATAAAAAAAAAAAAAAAATCAAAAAGATTTAACATAAATCTTTTTCTTATCAAGATATATATATCTATATCAAATAAACTATTTATAAAGATTTTTTTTAATGACTAACCTACGAATAATGCAACCACCACGCCACATCAAAGCAATACCAGCATAATTTAAATCCCACTTGTATTCTTTAGCAGCTTCACGCATAAGCATAAAGCCTTGAGCATATGAGATCAATTTGGAAGCATATAAAGCTTGGCCTATTTGTTTAATGAAATCTTTTTTATCACCAGCGAAAGCCACACGTTCAGGACCTTTTAAAATTTTACTTGCACGTACACGTTCACTCTTCAAAGCTGAAAGTGCACGAGCAAATACAGCTTCGCCTATAAGTGTAAGTGGCATTCCAAGATCGAGCGCATTTATTGCTGTCCATTTGCCAGTACCTTTCTGTATAATTTTCCAAAAAAGTTAATTATATATTAAAAGTATATATATATGCGTGCAAATGTATGAATGAAGAGATTCCATACTTGGCCTGCAGTATCCCTAATTTTTTCTACTAGGGGAGTACCATCAGTGTCTTTATATCTCACGATATCTCTAGTGATTTCAATCAAAAATGAATCTAATTCACCCTTATTCCACTCTTCAAACACATCACCAATTTGATCATTTGTGAGACCAACTCCTTCCTTCATCAAATGATATGCTTCACAAATAAGTTGCATATCACCATACTCGATACCATTATGAACCATTTTAACATAATGACCTGCACCAGATTCACCAACCCAATCACAACATGGTTCGTTATCAGCCTTGGCTGCTATAGATTGAAATATTGGTTGTAAATGTTTCCTAATTTTAGAAATAAGAAAAATAAATTTTATTTTTAGAAAGCAAAAAAAAAAAAAAATTATAATAAATAAATAAATACCATGCAGCTTTAGAACCTCCAGGCATAAGAGATGGACCATAACGAGCACCATCTTCACCGCCAGATACACCGCAACCAACAAATAATAAACCTTTTTCTTCCAAGTATTTACATCTACGAATAGTGTCTGGATAATGCGAATTACCACCATCAATAATAATATCATCTTTGTCAAGATAAGGAAGTAATTGATCAATAAAATCGTCAACAGCTTGACCAGCTTTAACCAAAAGCATGACTTTTCGTGGCTTTTTTAATTTTTGGGCAAGATCTTGAATGGAACTAGCACCGACAATATTTTTTCCTAAGATAATAATAATAGATTGATTAATTCATTAATAGTTAATGATAATGATAAATTATATAATTAATGATGGATGGATAGGATACCTTTAGCTTCATTTGCTAAGAAATGATCTACTTTTGCAACAGTTCTGTTATATGCAACGACTGTGAATCCGTGGTCGGCTATGTTAAGAATAAGGTTTTGACCCTTATAAACCCCCGGTGAGAATTAATTTAATGAAGACATGGTAACTTGAATAATATTTTTATTAAAAAATTATCGATATTTTACCATAACAGCAAGACCAATAAGGCCAAAGTCACCTCTATCATTAATTAAATAATTAATTCATTAAAATAAATAAATGGTATGAAATAAGTTAATAAATATTATTATTATAATATTAATCAATCATTATTATCAAATACTACTTACACAGTCATTTTCGTTGAATTTTGTCACGTTAAAAATGGATAAAAATTTTTTAGTTAAAGGGAGCAAAAAAAAAATTTGTGTGGAATATTTGAGATGGATTTATTTTATATATATACAAAATCGGTTGAAAAAAGATGAAAGATGGTAATAATGCTGTTTTACCCAAATTTGGTTTGCTAAAGATTTAATGATATAATGATAAGCAAAAGTGTAACCATTTAAGGAGACTCCGTGCAATTTTTTATGATAATTGTATTAGTAGTATTGGGTTCACTGTACACCTGTCGTTAAATGTCAAGACATCTTTAGATTCTACGTATATACACACTAACGCAGTGAATTTCTATTTAACGGGGAAATTTTATTCTGGAAAATTTTATCCGACCCGAGATCTCCATAATAATAATAGTAGTATTAATAATTAATAGTTAGTTAACGGATTATAATAAATCACATGATACACGCTGAATATGAATTTTTAAAAACTAACCATATAAAATAATGTATAACATATATCAAAATGACTCAAAAATTTTTGGGTACTTGACTGATACAAAAATTTTTTTATTATGCAAAGTCACATGAAACTATATACAAAAAGGAACTTAAAAATGTATGAACAATCATAGAACTCTCCAATGGTGATTTTTTTTTATAATTAATAAATTTATTTGATTCTTCAATTTTGCATGGCTTTGTGTCATCAGTAATGTTTTGAGTTTAAAATGCTATTGTGTGTAGTTTTTGTATTCATTCAGTATTATTCGGATAATATCCAAATATCATTTATTTATCATTATTATGTGATTGATATCCAAATATTGTGATATTCACGTAATCTTTGCTAAAAAGAAAACGTCTATTTTTAAAAATTTTCAGTCAAGATTTATCTTTAAATTCACACACGTGTGAAATTCAATCAAATTTTTGTATACAAATACTCCACCCTTTTAATTCCAAGTTTACACGGCTCACTACAACACATGATACGATTCTTACAATGACATCAAATGGTTTCTTGGTAATTATCCAAGAAATGCAATTGGATAATTATTTCTCTTATCGTATATTTAATCATCTTCGTTGTACGCTTAATTCTATACATCCTTAAACAGCAACATGATGGCTTGAAGGAGAAACAAAAAATTGCATCTAAAGAGAATTTAATGAATTTGACGAAAGGATAAAACTGATGTACAAAGAAACTCTACAAAAAATGTGAAGACAGATTTAGTATAGTTCCTTAGTTCCAAATTTCGGAACAGGTCTTTCTTTAACTGGACTTCGTGTAGTAGATTTCAAAAACAAACTTTTTTTTAATCATGTCACTGATTAATTATTGGGAGAGTGTGTTATGAGGATTACTAACGAATAGTTTGTGAAACTTATTATTTTCTTTATTCAAGAAATATTAAAGTACATGGAGTTCGAGTTGTTTATATACACGATGTTTCATTATAGGACCACTTCCTCGACTAAGTCTATTATTGTACCTTGTCGGCTTTGTCGACCAATACAAATTAAATAACACGCACGTCGTAACGAAATCCTAATAAATAAATAAATAAATAAGATAATGTCAATAAGAGAGGTCAACATTTTCGGGTAATATTATTATTCAAAGAAATATTATGACAAATAACAATAATGCTACAACTCGGAATCTTTATTTTCCTTATTTTCCAGATTCAAAAAGGGTGGTATGGTACCATTTACATTTATTTATTCAATAAAATTTGAGCTGTATTTGATTTTTTTTCGATTTTGGATTTTGATTATAGTCGAAAGTTTTAAGATTCGAAGCAAATAATGATGCCTGACGAAATGTTTTTGTGAACAGGAAATAATTTTGTCACATTTGGCGAAATTGACGAAATAGTAATAATAATGGAAAATCTGACGAAAAGGGAAAAAATGTGCGGAGAAAATAAAAATAATAAAAAACTTATATATGCGCTCTTAAATTTATATTTATTTGTTCATTTAAGATTCTCTATTAAAATGTCGGATGACAGTCAGCTTCAATTTGTAAATGCTAACCCAAATGTCGAAGATAATTTGTCCTCCTCTAACTAGGAAGACCATATGTACAAAAATAAGAACATCTTTTCCAAAAAGGTAATGAATTATTCAGAATATCAAACATACATACAATGAAACCTTATTCCAATGAATCTAGTTTCAATTATAATTCAATTCGCATTTCAACGAATCTTAAACAAAACTTTCTTATGTGTCCAGTAATGATGTACGACGAAACTTTTTACGAATTTCGATTGTTAAATAAGCTTTTTTTTCCTAATTAAAAGAAGAGATCTTTTTGTCCTGATCTTTTCCTCGTGTTTATTTATTTATCCCAGATTAAAGGTCAATTGGATCAATTGTATTTTTTCTCCAAGTCTATTTCTATAGGAGAATACACTTCACGCAAACATCAAAAGTTATTTACAAATTTCGTTTGTTAAAACCCCCCCCCCCTTTGCAAAGATTAATCAATGTATTTTATTTGTTTTCTTCGAAAGGAAATTAAAAATAAAAATTTTCCCTATTCACTATCTCCCAAATGGTCAAAATCAAAAAAATTTGTACATGTTGTTTGTTTATCTTGATTTTGAATCCCGGACTCGAAAATATACTAACACTAACACGACAAGTATTTGACGATCTGGGATCTGAGGTAAAGGCTCCACAGGTTTTTGGTCATTTCATTTGGTCCAAAACGTCAGAGCAATACGAAGACCTAATGGTGGACAGCGGTAGACGCCATGCAAAAAACATTTAAAAAGAACGATTTCTTTTCAGTCAAGTATTTGCTTTTCTCAACCCTGACATTTTGAACAAAAATAGATAAATCCAAATAAGATATTAATATAAATAGGAATTCGCATGATATTGTGATATAAAAATAAACACAACTATTTATCATTTTTGGAAAACGAAAATATTTTTGTTCAAATTCAATTTCAAAATCGGCGCAGGAAAAAAAACGACTCATTACCCTTTGATTTTGATTTCATCTTTTCCCAACAATTCAGTTTACTAAAGTTGAGCAACAAAATGTTTAGAAGATTCATGATTCGTTACCGTAATTCACTGAATTTATCGTTTCAAGTCTCAACGAGTCTTCTTTACATCTCAAATTGTTAGGTTATATTACTATTACACAAAATATAAAAATCTACACAAAAATTACGATATTTAGAATAAAACCGTAATACAGGAACCTTTTATAATTATTCTCAAAAATCGTATTCATTAAACACAAGTTGAATTATATTTTATATTTTTATATAATGTCATATGTTAAACTATTATCATCATTATCACCAGAAAGAAAGGAATTTGTATATAAAATTAATGGTGAAATGCGTAATAATGCTAATGCTAATGCTAATAATAGAGAAAGTAGAAAAGATTATTTTTGTTCATTAGTCAAAAAAAACAGGGAGCTTTCCGAAAATGAAAAAGAATATTGTAAGGAAAGGTTTATTTATGATTTTGAATTAGATAATGCATTGAATAAATTAGGCAAACCACAAGAATGTAACAAGTGTAAATTGACAAGATACTCTGATAGGTTCTGTGAAGGTTGTATTAGTTTAAAATTACAGAGT